CTGTGTGGGATTGCACGTGATTATTGGAGAAGCGTTTATAGCTGCTGATGTTATTGCATGACTAGAATGACGTAGATGATGGTGTTGCTGATATAATTTTTTACTATTTGAATTATTATTAATATTAATATTGTTATTGCTTTTCATATAATTGTTATTGCTTTCGTTTTTGAAGGAATTACAATTATCCGCTTCGTAAACGTCTGTGGAATTAATAATTTTACAAACATTATCTTGAAGAATATTATTATTTGCAAGGATAATATCATTATTTGGATAGGGATTCCTGCCAGTTAATGGATTACTCAAGCTGGCCGTAGAATGTTTTGTAATGGCATCTGATGGGAAACTGTTTGCAGGTGATCTGTTTCTAATAAAACTGTTGCTTCCATAAGAAGCGAGGTGAGTTTGATCGTTACACAAGTTGTCTTTCATAAAACCGTTGGGACCGTTAATGCTGCTATAGTTGTTTGAATACGAATGGCGATTGTTGTCGTTATTCATGTTATTGAGAAAATTGCGGCTATTGCTCCTATCAAAAAGAGTATGGACGTTGTTGATGTGAGATGTATTGTTGTTGCTGTTGTTGATGTAATCAACGTTCATTGCATTTGATGTTGTTACGTCAGTGCAAGTGAGTAGATGAGACTTGAAAGATGAATGCATGTCGTTGGCTAGGTCCCCTGTCACATCCATAGGCACAGGCTGGGGTGAGAATGAGGTTATGACCCTCAAAGGTGACAGTGGAGATTTCCTGTACACTTGTGTATGTGTTGTTGATAGCGCTGTTGTTGATGTAGTGGTTAGTGTTGACGTTGGCAATGCTGTTGCTGGAGGAAATATTGTTGGTGTGACAATTGCAAAAGTTGATGGTGTCTGTAGAGATGCATTTAAGCTGGCATCACTGGACAGTTGTGAGTCATCCATTAAAAACTTGGGCAGTGATACATGGATTGAAGGAAGTTGCTTGGTTGTATTGGAATCAAAAGCACATGGCTCGAAATTATTACTGTTAATGTTATCCTGAGATCGCAGAGATGTTGTAGAATTGCATGGCACTTGTGGAGCATGTTGTGTTGAATGTTGAGCTTGTGACATCTTTGTGTTCATCATATTATGCTGCCTTGTAGAAAATAGTGTTGATGTGGACATGGAGCTAGAATCTTCAGCAAGTAGGAAACATTGTTGCTGAGGAAATTGTACAACATTCCCAGGTGCATTGAAAACGTGTTTATCGTCAACAGATCCTTCAAATGCAGAATGTATGGAGTTAAATGTTGTTCCACTGAGTTGCGTGGAACCATCAGGCACGTGTAAGTAGTCAGACCTGATGGAATGACTTTTCTTCAGAATGCCTTTTGGTGCAAACTCTGTCCTTATATCTACATTATTCGAGTTTGTGTTGTGCATTGAACTGAATGCAAAATTATCTGCATGGCTATTAACAGCTGCTTCGTTGAAAGGCAAACATTTCCTTACATTATTCTTATGCTGTGGTTGCGGAGGTAACGAATTCAGTTGTTGTAACCATTTAGGGAGATGGGATTGTTGCTGTGGGAGTTGTTCAGGTTTTGGTGTCTCAGGCGTGATGGGTGAAAAAATTGGAAAAGACACACAAACTTTAGGTAGTGCTGTGTGTGCCGGGGACGGGAATGGTGCAGTTGATTCAACATTCTTATCCGAATTATTTGTAGCTCCGTTAACATTGCTACAAACCAACGGAGATTTTAAAAACATGTTTGATTGTGAGCTAACAAAATGAGATGTGTTGTTGTTGTTGATCTGCTGATTACGATTCAACACCGTTTGCTTGTCCATCAAATCAAACGAATTTGTTGTTGCGTGTGCTGATGAAGATGATGGAGCATGTGAAAACATTGCAACATCAGATCCAGTTAGAAGATCGTCACGTTGAGGCGTCATAATGATGCTATGGTTGGCGTTTTTGTTGCTCCTCCGCAACTGATGAGCAGAACAGTGGTATCTAAAGTCTCTACAATCTTGCAGCAGAATCGGATCATTAAATGAATCCTGAGCTATATAACCTGGAAAGAAAATGATGTGATTGATGTTAATGAAAGACAACACTAGTAGCAGTTCATATCATTGCAACATGCCAACACTACTACATCTCGTCTATACTGTTATTGTCTCAAACGATATAAAATTTGCAGGAGCTAGTAATCTAAAAATCATTAACTTTTGATTAAAACATATAGAAGCAAAAAAATTAATTAGGCTATGAGCGTATAAATGCTACTGCAATGAGCTGATGAAAAATATGAAGAAATGGAAGAACGAATGAAAGATGCTACCGTGATCCGTGGCGATCTTAACTGACTCCAGGTGGAACAAGTGCAAAGCCTGCTGCACGTCAGCTGAATAATTTTCATCCTCCTCTTCCTCCTCCTCATCATCATCACTGCTCAAACCTTTAGTGATTACAAACAATGGCTTGAATGGTCTCCCAATATCATCATTAGTACTCAGGCAATAATAAAAACAGACTTAATTTTATAACGCAAATAAAATTCTCCAAGTGCAAGATGCAATGAAATAAGTCGATGATAGGTTAACATGTCCAGATCAAAGCCAACTAAACATGAAATATTACAAAAAACACGCAAGACAATGATGACCAACCAAACATAGCTGTCCTTTCTTTGCTGTTTGATTTGTTCGCCAATGGTATCTCTTTGCAACCCTGCTGCTGCATGGATGAAAATACCATAGTATCAAATTATTATGATTTTCATTCTGATAACATTTGCTTCTAAAAGGTGAAATAAAAACAATGAAATAAATGTGATTAGATATAAGAGAAATTAATCCAACTAGCAGTTGAAAAATGAAAATCAATAAGTATGTAGGAGTTAGTGGTTTACCTGTAGAGATGTATGATCATTAATGATGTAATTGTTGTCCCGATAGTTTGAAACTTTGCTGAAAATATTGTCCACTGTTGCTGAAGTTGAAAAAGGTGCTGGAGATTTAATGGTTGGCGTTGCAGTTTGTGTTGTCAGTGCAGATTTTGTTATGTGAGGCATTGCAGACATCCCGTTGAGTTGACATTCTTTGCTTTTAAACAAACTTAGAGGCTTGCAATTCAGTGAGAACTTGTTACTCAATGGAACATGTCTGTCGGTGGAGTTGGTATCATCTGATGTAAAGTTTGGCAGTTGAGATGATGGTGGTGTGAACCTTATTTGCTGTAGATGTTGTTGTTGATGCATCTGTTGTTGATGTGGTTGATGAATTTGTTGCTGATGTTGTTGAAATGGTTGATTATGTTGTTTTTGTATTGGCTGTTGTATTTGTATTAAGTGTTGTTGTTGAGCTTGTAGAAGAGTTGGTTGTTGACGTTGCTGTAATAATAGCTGATTTTGTTGAATTTCTTGTTGAAGTAAAGATTGTTGCTGGTGTTGCCTGTGTTGTTGCTGTGGCATCACAAGAAGTTTGTTGTCTGCAGTAGTTACTAATTGTTGCTGGTGGTATTTTTTTGGATAAAACTGTTTGCTGTTGATGTTGTTGGTGGCGTTGAAGTTTTCGTTGTTGTCTATGCCAGTTTGCAAAAGATTATCATTGCCCGCTTTGTTGTGGTTAAATCTGGAAATATCATTAATCCTATTGCTGCTGTTGCAGTTGATGTTATTAAAGATATTGCTGTTGTTGAAAACATTGTTGAATAGATGATTGTTTGTTGCAGTTGTGTTGCAAGACCGAGGTGAAACGGGGGCAGTTATTGTGGACAACATGCTGATTATTGAAGGTCGTTTCGAGGGTAACTTTTTGGCTTTCCTTTTTTCTTGCCAGTACCTACTTCTCATTGGTGTCAGGGAGCTGACAGCAACTTCCTTGGAATGCAGACCAGATGAAGATGATGTTGCCATTTTTACCGGATCTATACTTTTAGTAGAATTCTGTTAAGGAAGAAGAAATAGATTGAATTGAAAACTAAAAAATTTATACATTTAAATGTCATTCATAAAACAACAAAAAATAAATTATCAATAATAAAACAAAATGATGAAAGAATTTCAACCTATAAATTTAAATTATTTAACAAGGTCCAAACAAACAAACAAACAAACAAACAAACAAACAAACAAACAAACAAACAAACAAACAAACAAACAAACAAACAAACAAACAAACAAACAAACAAACAAACAAACAAACAAACAAACAAACAAACAAACAAACAAACAAACAAACAAACAAACAAACAAACAAACAAACAAACAAACAAACAAACAAACAAACAAAAACAAACAAACAAACAAACAAACAGATGAACGAACTTGTCTCCTTGCACCATCATCGCCCATCATAGAACGCAGGTTGGATTTGGATGTCCTTGATCTCATACACTGGGAAGGATTCTGACGTTTCCTGAAGTACTCCTCAAGCTATTTGTCAAATAATAATAAGCGCTAATATATCTATTTATCTATTTTAAATTGTGAAGAAACAATTATAAACGCTATTATATTTCACATTGTCATTACCGCCAATTATCTTGTGAAAATGACAAATTAAATATTAATCTTAAATATGCAAAAGCAATTATTGTCTATAACATAAACAATGTTGACGTTGATCGGTCATCAAAATGTCCCTTTCACATCATCAAATAGCTGATAAATTTTGTAAACATCCTTACAAATTATCCAATACTGCACATAACATTAAATGAATAAAAAAATGATCCAAGTAGCCCTAATTTAATGTAAATCTAATGTAAGACTACTACTATCTTCAAAAAAGTAATCATTAGTAACATTGTTAGTATTATTATTACCACAAGTGAACAATTCTTTAAAAGTAATTAAGATAATAAAAAATTATTACTCATTTCATAATAATGTACCCATCATATTTATCCAACAGAGATGCTACAACACAACATACAATGGGTACAAGTACAAGATAAAATGTACAAATAATTAAATGTACAAACAGTACACTTACGCACACACACTTACGCACACACGCACACATCAAGCATCTCTTCCTACCTGAGTTCTGTCGATGGTGTGCAAGAAGTATGTGACTTGTTTGGGTGTCCACGACACTGGACCCCTCAGTGGGGACAGTTCTTCAACGGTCATTATCGCCCCGATGTCTGACGGAGAAGATTTATTTAATATAATGATAATTTTTAATATAAGCGTCTGAGTTATGTGTTGATCGTCATATGTCATAAGCTGGAAATGAATATAATTCTCAATCACCATCAGCCCTGGCATGACCCAGAAAGATACATTATCACCACCATCACCACAAACATCAACAACAAGGACAGCAGCAGCAACAACAACAACAGCAGCAAAACATAAACAAACTGACCACTAAGGTTCCTCTCAGATATCTGCATGTTCATAGCACAAAATGCCTTTGATGACACAATCTTCGTTCCTTCTTTCAAGTTGGAGAACCTCAATTTCAACTGCAACAAACAATCAATTCATTAAATTCGAAGTAAATTATTTGAAATTATTATGAAGGATTCAAAGAAAAATAAAAAATAAATATAATTAATGTTTGCTATCTGAAAAAAATAAACATTTTCTTCTAATTTATTATTTAAATTCAAGCTAATAACATAAAAACCAGAAGTTTATAAAAATTAATTTAAAATTACATCATTCAATGGAAGTTTTGAATCAAATAGTAGACATAGAGTTAAATGAAGAGACATAGTATTAAGAAGTAACATAAAATAAAATATGGTGATGGAAAAAAATTCTACCTCATGATCTACTTGCGGCCCAAATGCAAAGTTGTTCACAAATATGACACTGTGTGATTTAAAATTTTGGAAACATTAATTAAGATGATTTAACATTTATAAAAATATAACTCTAACTAATAAAAAACTTTTTAGACAAACAAACAAACAAACAGTCAAATAATAAACAACTACAGTGACAGTCAAACAACCACAGCAAGTCAAACAAACAGACAAACAAGCAGTAAAACAAAAATCGAACGTGGCACTGGATATGACGTCCTTGTAGTCATCAGATAGAAAGTTACCCTTCATCAACTCGTAGGCACCATGCTCCTTGCCGTAGAACTTCATCCACTTCTCAAACTCTCCACTCAGTTGCTGTGTGCATGGTGAAATTATCAAACAATGTTATGACTAGATGACAGATTAAGCATTGACCGATGAAAACGGATAAAAAATAGTAAGCAATGAAGCAACTTTGAAATTTAATTATTAAACAAGTATAAGTTACAACACAGAGTATAATCAAACATTACTGATCAAAACAACATCACAACATGGAAACAGTTGACATAACAAACAGTTAGGAAGCCAACCTTGGCATAGTATGCGGGCCACTGGGCCTTTTCAATACCATAGCAGTACTTGCATGGTGTGGCAGCTGCAACTTGTAAGACAACATGACCAACTCCTGATGTGAATAATGCAACAGGAATGTTATGAAAATGGAAAAAAAAGTTACATCCATCAAAATTTTTTATGCAACATTTAAAATTGAAAAAAGTTGATGTTTTTTTTTTTGAGAAGATAACAAAGAAAAATTTAAAAGGCTTAAAGAATTTTCTTTTAAAACATTTTAAAAGAGCATGTGAGGAGAATAAATGAAAAAAAATGTTGAAAGAATTTTAGAAAGAAAGAGAGAGAGAGAGGGAGAGAGAGAGAGAGAGAGAAGAGAGAGCGAAAACTGACCGCTTCCAAGATCTATAAATCGATCATCCTCTGTGAACCTGATGGTCTTGATCATCTGGTCGACCAACTCATAACTTGTCTCGCCATACACCTTGGTAAAGAAAAGTTAAAAATTGCATTCTCTTGCCTTACTTAACTTTATAAATAAATCAGATCATTCATTACAAAAGCCTGCAAAACAAACAAACACTGAAATGAAAAAATAGCACACAGTTTGAAATGTGAATAAGGCATACAAACAAACAGCAGATAGATAACCTAACTGATAACAAATAAAAAAATATTTTTTTTAAAAAGACATCCTAGTGCAGAGAAAGTTTTTAATATTTTAAAACAATCAATTAAATTTTTATAAATTAAATTCATCATCAACATTATTACCCATTATCCATATCATTTAGGCAGAACACAAAACTTTTTTATTAAATATAATAAAAAACAAACACATTGAAAATTTTAAAAATTGGTTTTAAAGCTTAAAAATTCTTGTGCATTATAATAAATCTATCTCGCTTCTTTAACAATAGGCCAGCTACACTGAAAAATATGAAAATCTTGCATCAAGAACAAACACCTCAACAAAATGAAAACCTGATTTTGAAAGTATAAACTTGATAAAAATAAACTTTATTAAAAACATCCCAAATTTATCTGTTAACAATTTACAATGTGAACATGGAAGAATTAAATAAACATGCATGCAACAATAATTTAGTATCATCACTGTTATATTTCAAAGAAAATTTGTCAACACCATGCTATTCACATGCAAATTCTTATTCACTTAGCGATTAATTAAAACATTTTAAAACATTGTTCAGAAAATTGTTTAAAAATTACAATTATTTAAAGAATAAAAATTTATTCTTTTCAATAAATTAAACATACCAGTTTTGGACAAAAAAATTATTTAACATCAAAGCAACACTCATCTTTAAACAACCCATCTCTTGCTATTGCTATATGATACACCAAATGTAATAAAAAGAATCATAAAAAATATAGATAAAAAAAAATAAATAAAAATATTCGAAAGCACTAAGCAAAAAAAGACATTAATTGTTGCCTAATCTGTTGATGGTTTCATGTTCAAAAAGCTTAAGTGCCTGCTAACATCAAAAAAGTTTAAGATCAAATGAAGAATGAACAGACTGATAATGCAACTCCAAGCAGAGAATGTATTTAATATAATGTAAGATTGTGTAGACTTTTTATTGTGACGAAAAATTAACAACTTTATTCAAAAAACTTTTGTAAAAATCAACATTATATTTCAAACCAACTTTCTTAGAAAGTAATTAGAATCAGTGGAGAGATCAAAGATAATTAATTAACTGAAACTGAATGTTTATTTATCTAAACAGTCTGATGAAAATTGATGAAATCCCATGGTAACACATTTATCTGCATTTGATTCGCAAACTTAATCATAATGATAACTATTTTTGTAAAAAAAAAATTTTAAATAATCATTTTAAAAAAATGTGAACGATTTAAAAAAGTAAACAATCAATTGTTTATATAAAATATATATATATAAATAAACATTGCCAACAACAGGGAAGAAACTGAATAATAACATCAATTAGCAAAATGCAAAAAAAACAGCTGAAGGACAGACAAACGAAACAAACCTCAGCAGAGAATGGCTCATATTGGTTAAGTTTGGCCGGATCAGTGACAGCTTTGTCGTAGCACAGCTGTAAGATGTGGTGGAGTAGATCAACAGAGGCCCTGCTCTTTGACTCATACCTCTTCTGCTTTATCTGCACCAAATCAACAAATATTTATTTACATAGTAACATGAAAAACTTTACACAATATTCGTAGTTGTTTTGCTACTATAGTATTGAATCACTATAATTTACAACAATAAATCAATAACTTATTTTCTTATGCTTCATAATTACAATATACAAAATTAAGAAGCAGATAATAGTGAAATTGTTTTACCTACTGCATCAGTCATAACTATCTGATGTGATAATTATTCTCAAAATTAAACAAATGTGTAAGTGTGAAATGAATGGAGGACAAAATGATTCATGTGACAATGAGCATAAATAATAATAATAATTAATTATGTTGTCAATATTTTCCAATTTATTAGTAGATAATTGGTGGCCTTTCCCACAATAAACTGCCATTAAACAGAATCAGCTGGATTCAAATTGCTGATGACAAAAGGTTCAATTTAGTCTAGGTAACAACAACACTGAGGGGTTGGTTTACGTGCAGGCTAAGCAAAACTTGAATAGGACTCATCCTAAGAATTGCACGCGATGATATGATGCTTAGATCAGTGGGTGTGCAAATGTGGAAGAGAAAGAAATAATAAGAGAGAGTAGTTGTCAGGAGAGCTGCATTGATGCAGAACATCATTGGAGAAAAAAACAATCTTCATATGAGAAAACTAGAGTAACAATGCAAAGCATACACTCACACCACACAAAGCAAACAATATCCTGGAGTAAGTTTAATAAACTGGCATCATGGGGCATGAATGATTAGTGAATCATTAACAGCAATCCTCTGTGTATGCAAGTACATGTGACAAACAAAGGAAAGCTGTTCCATTTCGTCCCAGGTTATGTGTATCAACAAGTCAGGTACAGCACAAAGTTATATATAAAGTTGTGCATTAATATATATGAAAAAAACTATCCAGGTTATATACATTATTAGCCATCAATCATTTCATCAATGAACTTCATTAATTAAGAAATAATCAATCATATGTGAGATGCATTGACACACAAACACCTACCTACCTACCTTCCTAGCATTTTCCATCATGCAATCTTGTCCATAATAACTTATCAACAACATATCTACTCAACCAGAAAATCATACATCATTCCAATCCTATGCATACATGCATACATACATATACATACATACATACATACATACATACATACATACATACATACATACATACATACATCACAGCAAATATTTCAACCACCATACATTCAGTGACCTACATTCTTTAATGCATTTCTTCATGATAACAGAGATTCAATTTATCAGAGAAAATTAAATAAGTAATGAAGTATTTCAAAATTTGTGTGTAAATTTGTAATATAATAATAGGAGAATAATGAAAGGAATGTGTGCTGCATGCAGCCTCAAATCATAAATTGAGCTGCAAAAAAAATCCTTTCACATTTTGAAATTTAGATAGGGAACTAGTTAAGAAAAATCTAATTACATAGTTTTCATAAAAAATATTTGATTGAAAATTAGGGAGATATAAAAATCATAACACTACTCAACATGCTTACAATATTACATAGTAACATCCCAATCCTACATTTGAAGCATGCAATTGCCTTGGTAATGAAAGGAATGTATTTCATCACAACTAAGGATGCTATTCAATGCAGATATGACAATAAAAAAGAATGTGAAAACAAGCCCACATGTTTTCAACATTAAACATCCCATATACACACAGAAAATTATGAGCAGATATAGACAAACAGATGTATACATATAATTACACAACCATTACATTCGACATAGAAACACACATATACAATACATATGTAGATGTGCACGAAGACGCACACGCACAACAGCCACAACTGTAAAGCATGGTGACATATTTATGCAGCACTACAGTGTGTGCAAGTGTTTTGAATGCAAATAAGCAGATACGCGAGTGTGTGCACGCGTGCGTGTGTGCGTGCATTTTATGTTCGCGTGAGTGCGCGCGTAAGTGCGCGCGTGCATGTGTGATGTTCTGAAAGCATCTGATTCACATGATCTCCTCACGTTGTAGACCTGCTGTGAAATTCTGCATGGTGGATGCACCACCACTCATTGATATGCATCTCACCGCAGTGACGGAAATATAATGTTCCCCCGTATTTTTAAGCATTTGTTACTTTTCCTATATATTTACGAACAACGTTTGCTAGCGATTACTTACTTATTTCATTAAGAAGCCTCAAAAAACGATTGAAAACTAGTTTTAAAAAATCAATAAACAGTGGAGTGCAGTGGAGTGCAGTAGTTGTTGAAGTAGTAGTAATAAATTAAATAACAATGACAACCACTTGTAAGTCTTCTATGAGTACTTTTTATTAAACTCATCATGTACACTGATGAATAAGATCCCCACCCGAAGACAGGCACTTAATTTTATTGCTTCATAAACATGAAATAAACAAATTATTTTTACATCAAATTATAAGAAATAAACTCTGGAGTGAAAGTTAAAGATTTTTTAGGCAAATAAATTTTTTGTTAAAGTAACAGAAAAAAATCATGTTTCACTTTGATGAAAAAAAATGTTTAACATCTTCAAATTGTGATTTATATTGCAATACTAATCCTGTAATTCAACAGCAGCTGATGAATTTGATGAGCAGGTCTGAAACATTTATCTTTTCATGCCCATGTGTATGTGTATATATGCAACAAATAAACAAACGTCATGAATGACATGTGCCTTGAATTACAATGTCAGTAAATCTCCATGACACATAGCATGCATATTCCATGTGTTTTCAAACATATATCTCACCTTTTCAACTCTATTCTCCAGAAAGAAAAACTTACCATTTACTAAAAAATTCATTTTGCAAACACAGGAAACCAAGCTCGAGCCTTCCTATTAGATATTGCTGCACCAAAAAAATAAAATATCATCTTGACTACATCACTCACACCGAAACTATCATCAGACCAACATCATCAAATCACTATCCCAGCAACATCACCATCACCCCCAACCATCATCATATCAGCATTCAACTGATAAGTAACATTATGGCTACCAAGCATTCAACAACTAGCCTGCAGATTACAACATTAAATATGATCTGGCCTGCTACTTTTAACTCAGTTTAAGCAAACAAGAAAAATGATCAATTGTGATTGATTGTATAAAATGTTGTTGGAAATGTATGCAGATCTAATTTATTTCCACAGAAGATGGGGCGTTGAATTGTGCTCATGTGAAAGCAGAAACATTATAAGATCATAATATAATTTGGCAGGTAAACATTTGTTAATTGGTTAGCAAACATAATTTAAATGGAAATCTAATTAGTAAATCAAAAAGTTTACAGATTCATCAAAGAAGCTATTTGATTCTATGATTGTAGAATGTCGCTAAACTTTGATGATTTAACAAAAAAAATTTGAATCAAATGTGAATGAGAGATAAAAGAATGCATGACTAACCATGAACCTGAGGTCATCAACTGCCCTGTTGAACTTCTGGCAGACCATCTTGATGCTTTCGTAACTGTTGTAACATTTAGAATAGACATTATTTCATTCATATTTTAAAGTATTTTCATCTTGAATAACAAAATTAAATGCAAAAAACCTCAAATTATAGCAGATACAAAGGAAATAAGACAATAAAAATAATTTGGAATTATTTTCCAATCATCTAACACGTTGAAATATAAAATTTCAAATTGGGTTGAACAACTAACTATCTCACAAACACACAAATGAAGACTGTATGAATACAAATATGAAAAATATAAATAAATATATAAAAATGAATATAGACATAGCTATCATTTATCTCATTCCCATGTTATTCATCAGGTGTCAAATGGGCAAATGTCACAATGTACAAACAACAACAACAACAACAATAACCAAAACACCTGCCTGAATGTAGAAGATCAAATTGAACTGCAACTAACAAGGTACAGACAGAAATATAAAAAACAACAGCAGCAGCAATAGAGGAATGCCAGTGCATTAGAAAATGAGATGCCAGATTGGATTGTGTCAGGAATAAATAAAATTAAACAACACTAACCAGATGATGTGACCATGGCAAAGAGTTATGTAATTAAATTACTTCAATAATTATTCAGTTAAACATGATTTATTGTAAAAATAAAATTTGAACAAAAATATATTTATTTAAAATGTAATATGGAATATAACTTTTCATCAGGTAATTAATTATAACAGCCTGATCAGACAATTTAAAATAAAAAGTGTTCATAAAAGTGCACAAACTTATTTATGATGTAGCCCTCTAATATCTTGTTGAGACTATTCTGCAGAGGTTGTTCTTCTTGGCAAGCGAAACTGATTTAAAATAGTATTAAATTCATTATCATTAAATATTATTTACCACTAAACATAGTAATTATAACTCAAGCTGATAATAAATACATAAGCATTGCATCACACTATATTATTGTATAGCCACTAAAGAAATATATATCAATCATTGCACTGGCTGATTTATTTTTCTTTTGTGGTGTAACTCCCACATGAGAATTCAATTCATTTGCTGGTCAACATCAGTTACCAGCTCATTCCATACATATTTAAAGTTATCAAGTTATTTCCAGATCCTCTCTCCCTCTCTATTTCTCTCTCTCTCTCCCCTGCTTCACTTTCTTTCTCAATTTATCTCAGTAACTCTCAATGTATCACCTCCAGATTCATCTCTTCTTCTAGCCATCAACAGAATGAGATAGTTTCCATATTTCAATAATTTAAATCACTCATTCACCTAGCGGCATAATAACCTCTCTAAACTGAGATCATATATTCATTCATACAATATTACAAACATAAGATGTTTGAAAAAAGTCTTTTCCACAACATTTGATCTCAATTAACCACAGGCCAAAAAACATGCTTCAAAAGGGTCTCTACAAGATAGCATGGTGGATGCCAAATTTAATGTAAATAGTGATTTATTGGTTAAAAAAAATTGAGAAACAATACAATTTGTCTGAAAATAAATATTCATTTATTAGTAGGAGAACTCATTTGATAATTATAAAAACCATACTTAGAGCTGTCATACATTCAACATATATTTTCGAAGTATTAAATGAATTAATAGTTAAACTGGCTAAATTAAAAAAGAACTAATAAGTAATTTATTGAGTAACTTAGCTCAATAAATTTAGTTGTACTGTGTATATATATATATATATATGGGTGTGTGTGTGTGTGTATGTAGAGGTATTCATACAAAACATATGACATAAAACACATGAAAACACAAAAAAAATTAATAAGAAGGATAGTATAGTGTTACAAGTTAACAGGCACATGCTGGTTAGCAGCAGTGAATTAGGATGTAGTCAAATTATAAAAATAACAATTGCAATTTGAGAAGTAGAGGAAAGAGGATATCTTAAATGGAAACATTTTCAGTTCACAACAGAAATTTACTAAGCTTAAACCTTGCATACCAACAAGGATAAACCAAGAAACTAATCAATGCTGAAAATGCAGTGATATTTCCCAACAAATGTTTTAGGTCTTTAAGTAAACTTCATATACTTATAATATATATATATATATATATCTGTGTGTGTGTATGTGTGTGTGTGTACATAGATTACTACAATAAACATATATTATTACCATTTATACATACATACACATGTATGTGCATTTGTGTGTGGTTAATGTTTGTTTGTAATTGTAGGTGCACGATTTTGCATACACATACACTCATAATTATATAAGCAAACATAAGCCAACATGAACCATAATAAGCACACACAAATACACACACACACACACATATATATATATATATACATTTATATATATATAAGACATGAAGATATATGGAGCACAGGCATTCAATCCATTCATTCACAGGGCAAACATTAGAAACAGGCACATAAGCACATGCATATTTTCCAGCACAGTAACTTAACAAAGGCAGTTACAACAGTCCTTATAATTAATGCATGTCTCAACATACATTAATGTGTATGCATATATATATATATATATATATATACATATACATATATATATACCAGCATATATATATATATTATATATATTTCTATATGTGTGTGTGTAAATATATTTTTTAATATCATATAAATGTTTGACAAGGCACAAACATATCAACATATAACATACAAATAAAAATCTGTATATAGGCTAATATGATTGAACAAGAATGTGCTTGTGCATGCATTCGCCTACACACATGCAAATGCACACCTATATGAAAGTGTAGATGCAAAAATATGAATCAAAGACATTCTATTCATGAGTATGTTTGAATGCATTTGTATTTACTTGCTTGCATTTATGTTTACAAACATATAAATAAATAAATAAATAAATAAATAAATATATATATATATATGTGTGTGTGTGTGTGTGTGTGTGTGTGTTTGTGTTTATACATTTGTCAGCACATTTATGTATACCAATGTTATTGCCTATACACACACATAGACATGTATGTGGAGCATGTAAGCATGAGCTGGCATTCTATTGTTATGGATGATGTTCATGAACATTAAACACATTCTAGGCTATAAGCAATAACCAATGTATGTGGCGTTACACATACATATATACAATATAAGTGTGCATATGTATAGGTATAAAGACATACATACATACATACATGCACATATATACATATAAATGCATATATACATATGTACAATGTAAGTGTGCAAGCTGTTTAGCTATTGATAATCTGTATTGATAAATAATTAAACAAGAATGCTAATAATAACTGTCCTTTATGTCCATCATAGGTTATTTAACAACTTGTACTAAAAATAATGCATATATATATATATATGTGCGTATAAAATATTGAACTTATGAAAATATAAACACATGCTTATAATATATATATATATATGCGTGTGTGTTTGCGTGTGTGTGTGCGTGTGTCAGTCAGTACATGGGTTTGGATACAAATATATTACAAAATGAAATAAGAAAATATTCTCAAAACTCAAGAGCATCATCATCATACATACATTATTATATATATCATATATATATATATATATATACATATATACTATATATATATCATTATTTACCTAGGCTAGTTCAAAAATTTCAAACATTAGAAGTGTTTAGAAAGTTTCCATATGCAAATAACTAACCCCTTTGATTGTAAGCAATAATTGTTTTTTTAAAAAGAGAACTAGGTGCTATAGTTACCATACTATAGGTGCTATAAATTAACCAATTGTTAATGTAACATTATTACCAAGAAACATGCTTATAAAAGTTAGCAGACGTGTTAAACATCATCACAGGTGAATTATGTGGAAAATTAAAATAAATGATTAAACCCATCACAGAATAATACCAAGAAAATTAATCTTAAGCAGATGTGAATTACCAATTGTCGCTCAGTTACATGATGAATTGTTCTTCATTTAATTAAAACAAAACATTTCCTAGATTGTAGTGTAGTGGAGTGCAGAAACAAAAACAAAACATAAAAACTTTCCCTGTAAGAGTAAGAGGAACAGGTGTGAATAATGAATGAATAAAATATTGAAAATTCATTCAATGAGTGAGAGTTACACAAGTGCAAAGCTGTAAATGTCTGCAACTCTAAGATTTATAAATCAGCAGATGCATATCATTAAAGGCTATAAAAAGCATTAAGATAATAAATCTTCAACAGCAGCAGGAGTCAGAGATCATCTACAGTTAGTTAATTTCACGAATAAATGTATAAAGCTTAAATTCAACAACCCACCTGATTGCCTCTATAATTTCACATTCTTGATCTTTGCTTTCCTGGAATTGAAAATTCAATTTGTAAAGAAATTAAGAAGTAAACCAAATGGATAACATTATTTAAATCAAACAGGCAAAACTATATCATTCAGTGTAATTATCCTCTATGAGAAATGACTCCATGATGAATTACATAAAAATGTTGTATTGATTTAAATTTAAAACAACTATATATAAGCAGATTTTAATAACTGTTTAGATTTCAAATTATCTTGAAATATTACTCAAAAATTATGATTTACAACCTAATGAATAGTCTAAGCAAAAATATTAAACTGAACTCTAAATGAATTCTTATTTGAACAGCCAGAGCATTGATTACAAGAAGAATATTTAGTTAGGTGGCACAACAGTTTCCCCTACTCTAGTTTTGTATCATTTTAATGATCATCCAAATCATTACATTTGTATATTTTGGTGATTAGATGAATTATTATAAACATTAACATAAACACTTACACACAAAATGTTATAACCACTTTAAAATGTATAACGATAACCATAACCACATTTAACCAGAAATAACCACCATCATATAGAAATTGAAGAAATTTAATATTTTAAAAAATTTAAAATTTCTAAAACATAGTTATAAAATAATTGTGAATAAATTTTAAAAGGTTTAAAAAGATAAATGTGAACCAAAAATTAAAATAAACTTACAAGAGGCCAACTGTAGATTACTGGTTCGTAACCACCCAAACTGTGAAGTTTTAGTTCCATGAATTATTTTTTGACTTTGTTGTCGATGTATCCGCCCGATGTAATCCGGTAATTTTGCCGTTGAATATTATTTTTTTTAATTTTTGTCGCACGATCGACATATTTAATAATTATATTTTAATTAAACTTTAATTTTTAATATTAATAAAAAAAATACATAAATTATTAAAAACTAAAAACTACAATTCAATTAAACTCTAGCGACATCATAAGACACTAATAAAGTAAATAATTGAAAAAAAATAATTAACTTAGAAATTTGTTAAAATAAATAAATAAATAAATAAATTTCATGTCCAACGACTACTACTGCAACTTTTGCTCAAATGAAAACACTTTAAAAGCAAGACACAATCACGTGGTTACGAGCCAATAAATAGTGTAGAGCTCAATATTTACAATCACCTATGGATATATATCCATGCAATCAACCTATCAAACAAAGACTCAGATTTACCGTTTTACAAAGAATAAATATAAAAGAACTATATATATATATAAATCTGTTTTAGGCAGTTTATTTTTCGCGTTAAATGACGAACAATTTACTTTTGTTAAGTACATTGTAAATATACGATACAACGCTAATTATAAACCGTAGATAGCAATCATATACTTAAAATAAATAACAATATAGAATAGCAATAAACGTATGAATGAATAAATTTATACATAAATTTATATATGCTCATCTGCATAGGTTGTTTTGTTATACCGTGAGTGTTATTCACAGAGCGGCTTGTTAGCAATAAACACCTTTTGGCGCCATACAATCTTAACAATTAAACAATTAAAAGGACAGCTGATTTTACACGAACACAAAGAAAAAGTGAAAAAGTTTTATTGAAAGCGGAGTGACGTTTATATATAAATTAGTAAATAAACTCAATTAAACCGTCGGGTCACGTGCAGAATAAAACATTAAAAAAAACATTAAACTGTAAAAAGAGATAGCAGTTATATAAATTGTTATTAATAAATAAAGAACTAGAGGCACGAAAATTTCGACGTGATAATTCCTTAAGCAAATTAGGTTGCTATGTAACTAAGTAGTCGTATCATACCATGATAAGTGATCATATTCAAATGCACAAAGAACTACGGTTTTTATCGTGTAAGTGTAAAATGATAAATTAATAATAAAGTTTCGCGTCACATTCCCCAAAATAGTTCAATCATAGTGCACTGTACATAAGGATAAATATTCGTATCTAAAATCTAAAATTCTTAAATATTCATATCTAAAAACCGAGTTCTATTGGCTTTTAACACCAACACTGCTCACAACGGTGAGGCCATAGCCTCTCCGGTCCTCCTAGGAGAGCCTAGATCAGCCACAGGACGCCCCCATATATCATTTGCTATTTTATTGAGTCCAATGTTTTCACTCCAGTTCCAAAGCAGTTGGTGACGTCATAAATTCTTTTATTGGCATTTTACTAAGTTTTTTAGCTTTAAATTTTTCCTTATTTCAGCTTTCATCAGTCTGTCATACGACATTTAGCAGATATGTTGTCGGATTGGATAACTATTCTGATGGGTATTCGGGCTGCTGATGAGTCCCTGGTAGGAACGAAACACGTGTCCAGCCTATCAAAACGAATACTATTCTTTTCTTCTCCCGCTCGCTGCTCTTCCTGGTTCGGTGTTCTCTTACATAAGCGCAACTGCAACAATGTTCACATTTTAAATTTATTTTTTTGTATATTAACTAATCTGCTTTGCAAGTTGGTTTCTTGCGATATCGTTTCGAATTTTTTACTTGCAATTGAGTTCAGACAACTTTCTCTGGACTCAATTGCAGACCCCTTTCAATTTGCGCTTATTTCTCCCTAACTTCCCAGGTTCTGCGTGCAGCGCCAGAAATACGCAAGTCTCTACTATTGTGCTTATTTTAAAATATTCATTTGTTTTTGTTTAACAGCGTTTCAGCACCTCACTTCACTATTTTTAGTTTAAGCCAATGATTTTTTCATGTTTTTTAAGCCTGACATTTTAAGAATATAGACAAAACAACATGCAATGTTTAATTGTATATTCTTTGTTTTGTTTACAACCAGCCGGCAAAACTTAATCAATTGGGTGTCTGTTTGATCCGGAAAAAGTTTAAAAAAATAATAAAATCGAGCGACATCTGTTGCAGATTATTTTATTTTATTCTCTTTTATTTTCTAAGTGATAAAAATGATTTTAATGAACGAGAGGTTCAATTCATCTCTGGTGAAGCAGGTGTCTGACATTCGAAGACTGCACTTCCAACACAGTACCAACATGTTCTGGGCGGTCGTCAACTTATTTGTCGCCTTCATTTTACATCTGGAAATGTCAGAATTTTTTGACCTTTTTCTTTGCTTTTTAATTATTATAATTTAAATTTATTTATGATTTTTTATTTTAAATTTTTTTTATTCTCTTTTCTCTCATAATTAAATTAATCAATTTTCAATGTCAATGTGATTGTCTACTAATGACTAACCACTAATTAATACTAATTTAATTTAAAATTTTAAAGTGTAGGTTTATAATTGTATGTCTAATTGGGAAATAATTATTATTCATTTGATACAACACAAATTAAATGCTTTGAATCATTTAATTGACAGGTCTTATGGGACATTTATAATGGCACTGGATCTGATGTTCCCTAGTTTTAAAATGTGGTACATTGGTAAATATTTTATCCTTTTAGCTTATAATATAATATAATTATAATATAGGTGTAAATCATACAATTAATTTTCCAACCAACCACAATAATATGCTAGGTGTGCTAGTTGAAGTTTTGTTCATCCTGAATGCATGTTGTAACCTGATAAAGTACATGAAGGTGAAAACACTTAAGCCACTTGTTGTTACTGATGTCTTGAAGAAGGCCTGCAATATTTCTGATGACGGTTAGTCTGGTTTGGTAGGATCTTATCAATATTCAGTGACACAGCCTATTTTCTATTTATATTTAGCTATTTTTATTAGAGCTATTAAATTAAATTTTTAATAATATTTAATTAAATAGTCTTTGCTTTATTAAGTTCTTATTTTTTTCTTACGTTTGTGTTAACTTTCATTAAAATTTTTGGTATAAATTTTGTATACTAGAGCCAGGTTTTGTGTCGATGGAGAGTGAACCATCCAACAATATTCCAGTGTTGAATGGTCATGTGATGGAGAAACTGCCAGAATACTCGCCAAGTCATTACAGTAGCTACCTGAGTATGAGCACACCTCGCACGTCACATTCGACCTCCAATGATCTGTACAACTGTCATGCTTTAAACAACAGCCTAGACTCCAGTTTTGGAAGCTACTTAGTAGTTTCTTATAATTTTTTTTTGTTCAATTGAAAATTTAATTAATTATTATTTCTCTAAAATCAAAAGTTGGAAATGTCAAAATTAGACTTTCTTATTTTGGCTCTTGTATTAAATTTTCATTTCTTATAAACAGAACCTTTCGGACAGTCAAGTTGCAAACAATTCATTCAGCAGTGCCAATGCATCATTCAAGTCACTCAATAGTTTGTTACTTCTTACTTCTTCATCATCTTCATCATCATTGGCATCTTTCTACTTATTTCCCCGTAGTTCATCATGATCATTGTAGTTGTGCAATGTTTCAGTTTTACATCACACCATCAATTCTCTTTATTCTTTTCTTTTTCTATGTATATCAAGGGAATATTTTTAAAGGTTGTTATCAGGAAACTTAGGAAAACAGAAAACCATTGCACAAAAAAAAACTAGGAGATGATGTTCATTCAAAAAATGTGAACAAAGAATGAAAATGAGATAAAAAAGAGAGAAAGACAGGAATGAAGAGAGGGAGAGAAGAGGGAGAGAGAGAGAATAAAAGTTAAGAACTCCAGAGAAGGTAGAGAAAGTTTAATAGATAGGTAGTGGGTGTTCTTCACTATCTCCAGATAAGTAGGCAGCATTTTCTCTGGTTTTGCATACTTTATTATATGCAGATTTTTTAATTATAGGTAAAAAGTACTAAAAATGCACTTAAATGATAATAATCCACAGGAAGTCATGATGACGTCATAGAAGATGTGCATTCCTTAAAGAGTTTCCTCAAGGAACAAAATGAAAATGAACTGAGATGCAGAAGGGGTATGTAAAGGGTATTTATTTATCAACATTTATTATTAACAGAGGTCTGTATCATGTCCTGGTTATGACATTAAACTGACCCTCACTGCCTTGTGAGTGATGTTGGATCATCAAAGGCTAGGCCCACCGCTTATAACTGTGGTTGCGTAAGGAAGGGCATCCTGCGTTAAAATTAGCCAATGAAATATTTATGATGACATTCGGTTTCATCATAGGTAGCCAAACGGCAACCCCCAATCTCGGGGAAAATGTCGTCTAAACGTGTGTTGTCGTTGTTGTTGTTAGAGGTCTGTATCACATTTTTCAAATTTTAGCTGATATTAATTGAAATTTTTTTTTTAAATTTTCACGTGTATTGAGAATTTAATACTAAACAGTGACCAACTGTTTAACTATTTTCTATACAATTTAAATTTAGTAGATTTTTCATTTTTATAAAACAGGTTATTTTAATTTTTAAAATAATTTCACCACAACATATATCATAATATATAATTAATATACTTGACATTGTATTTAAAGTTAATTGTGGATTTATTTTTAACAAATATTATAACAATTTGAAAGTTATTTGACTTGATATTTTAATGGAAAGAACATATGTTCAAATTAAAAAAATTGCATTATTCAAAATTTTCTAATTATAAAACTTTTTCATTATCTCACACACACACAATAAATTTGAAATTCTCCAGTTGAAATGGCTTTGGGGAATAGTGGTGGAACCTTCCTGCACAGTCCACGCAGTTACAACTATGCCCAAATCCAACAGCAACATTCACCAATCAGTCAACTCATGCCACCATTATCACCACCACTGGATCATTATCATCACCAACACCTGAATGGTACTTCAATTTACCCTCCGAACATCTACCAGTTGGCACGACCTGCTCAGCAGACGAACACTTCCCATTCAACCGGCGGTACATTCTTGAATTCCGATTCAAATGCAGATGATGTGAGTTGAAGTTTGTTCCAATGACCTAGCTCGCATAATGGTGTAATTAAATTACATATAACATTAAATTACATACTCCATAATTTTTTAAAATACATTTCACGTGTCTTCAACAAATTTTTTGCTCACCAACTTCTAGTATTTTTTCTTTTTAGCTTTTCATGTTTGAAAATGTTGATGAAAATTTTTTTGATGCGATCTCATATATTTTATGTTTTTTAAATCAATATAAAAATATGAAGGTTGCAAATGAATCTGAATTAGCTGAACATAGGATTGTTTGCAAAGAGCTTTTTTTTATGAGAGATTTTTTTAAAAGTTGTTGGCAACATTAGGCTCAAGCTTCGTTGAAAAATTATTTGGATTTTTTTTGTTTTTTTTTTTGCATTCAGTTTTGCTGCTAATTAATGTTGACGTTAATAAAATGCTAAATAGCATGCTAATATCCAGGTGTTAGGTTACTTTAGTTAATTAATAAAATTTTCTGAACGTCATTAAGGCCTGGTCCAGTTTGGATGTCTCTAACAAACTCGATCTGTGGACTGAGAGACTAAGAAAGGTCGCTATCACCACATCATCTTTCATCACATCATCTTTCACCACATCATCTTTCACCACATCATCTTTCATCACATCATCTTTCATCACATCATCTTTCACCACATCATCTTTCATCACATCATCTCTCATCACACTATTTGCCATTAGTTGTTTTTATGTATGATTGCAGTATCTCAGTGGTACAATTCTGAAGAAGTTGGTTGATGAGATGGCATCTGTTAACTCATTATTGGCTGGTGCTGGGATGGAAGATGTACAAGTTGGAGGTAAGCATATTATGTTTGTCGGCATGTCTATCTTTTTGTTTGTCTGTCTGCATCACTTTCTCTGTTGTCCATCTTTTCATAATGTTAAAACTCATTTAACAATGAATAACCAGACTAGCACTACACCTAACAACTTGTCAATCATCTGCATTCCAGAACAACATGAATGTATTTGCAGGTGTGTCAATTACAGCTTTAAAGCAGTTGACCACAACTAAGACACACCTCCTGCCTCATCTCTCAAACATTCTTCCCTTCCTGGAGATATCATCTAACCAGGAGTACGTTGTTCAGAGGGTCAAAGGTTTGTTTGTCTGTCTGTCTATCTGTCTTTCTGTCTGCTTGTCAATTTGTCTGTCTGTCCTTTCTTCTGTTTTGTCTATGTGTTTGTTTGTTTTTCAACAAAGCTTCTATAAATAATTCAACCATAGGCTAACCTAAACAGAAATAAAACCTAGTGAGAGATGACTAAAAGCCTGACTTCATTGTTCCTCTGTTCTAATATATGCCCATTTTTAAATGTTAACTTTACCCCATTTCAATGTTTCATACGTTGACATAAACACGTGTGGTACATAATTTAGAGCTGAACTCTGGTGGCGGTTTGAGTTGTTTCAAATGGAATGGAGGTGGAGAGATGAGAGGAGGCAGGAGATGGGAGGAGATCCTTCCCACTGATTCCGCTGTTGGTTGATTGTTTCTCATTACATCCACATCCCATCATGTCGTCTATCTTGTTTTTTGCCTTAGATATTTATTCTTATCATCATTGTATGATGCAATTATATTTACATGTTCTTTTAATAGATAGTTTTGTAATTAATAGAAGTCATTTCACATTCAAAAATTTGAATTGAGACTTGCCTAGAAAACTTTGATGCTTCCAAGTGTTTTTTATTAGTAGAGGATGACAATTTCAACAGTACTCATTAACAAAGTCAATTATTGCGACATAATATCCTCATATTATTAACTCGTTCTCCTGCATAGTTCGTTAAATGTTGTAATAATTTGTAATAAAAACTAAAAGTTGCTGATGCACTGTTTGTGTTGCTACCTGGACATGAGACTGCCCTCTCACCCCACCTTTTCAGACGGAAAGCCATTCACCAATCAACATCTCATCAGAGCTTCCAACAAAACCGGTTTGTTGTTCACATTTTCAGAACCTTTCAATTAAATTGTTGATGCATCATCCACTGTTTGTACCATTGTTAACTTTTTCATGTTTCCACTGAAAAATGAAATATTCCTGTACACAAACTCTTAGAATGATTGCACATTCCGCCTGACACATCATCAGCAATTGACTTGGATACATTTTCTCAAACGTTATTTTGGATTGATAAATTTGAGAAACCCCAATTAAGGTGTATCTGAAATGAAGGATGGCATATATTTCTTGGAGGGAGATGTGCACCCCCCTCATTATGACGTCATATACAATGGCTCCCTCTACAAAATTAAAAGGGTCTGTTACATTTTTTTAGATGATCTACTTTTAGTTTCTTTATATATTTAAATATTTTTATTATGAAATTGTATTAGGTGCTTCGTGAGCATGTGCATTTCATATGCCGTATAACGTTTTAATTAATAAATGTGATTATTGAAAAATTGTTGACTTTGGTTTGTAAATGAGTGAATATAATTTTGTCTCCACTATTGCAGGGTCGATTGAACTTGTTCCATGCCATCCTGTTGTTCTTCTATTTCATAAAAACGAAGGAACATGGCACAATTGGGTCAGTCAGTCTTTTCTCATGTCATTCAGATAATTATGCCCAAGAATTTTTATGTTATTTTTCCCGAGCCGTTTCTAAGAAACTTTCATGCCTCTAATCATCTTTTTTTGGAAAATTGGTTTTAACAAAATGCTGCTTTAGTTGTTGAAGTGCATTCAGTGACGCACTTAATCTTCCCATTCAATCACAACTAAATTTTCTGTTTCATTTTCTCACTATTTGATTCTTAAAAGTTGTTTACATTATAAAGAGGCAATAAAATTTTAATCACAAACAGGAGAATGAGTCTCGGCATGTCAGGCATTAACATTTTGTGGATATTCGACAACTGAAACTCACGAAATTATTACCGTTTGAGTACCTTTTGTTCCATCTACCCTCTCTTTCTTCCTCTCACTCTCTTTCTATTTTCTCTTTCTCTCTCTTTCTTTCTATCTCTTCCTATCTTTATTCTTTTTTTTGTTTTTTTCTCTCTTCTATACTCTTTTCACACTTCCCTCTTCTTATTCCTCTTTCACTTTCAATCTTTTGTTTACGTATGTATGTATATGTATGTATTTATGTAAATATATATATATATATATATATATATATATATATATATATACATACATACTTTTGTGTGTGTACATTTATATGAATGTAAACAATATTTTATCGGCATTGGACTTGCGGCCATTACAGTCATCGGCTGTTATGCGTATATTGAAATAACTTCAGTGATTGAAGAGGTAAAGTTTTGGAATAAAACACGTATTATTCACATAAGTGAAAGTCTTTGCATGAAAAAATGACTTTCGTCTACTACTACTCAAATAGATTCTTTACAACAAAAATATCGTTAGATGGATAGTGTGAGGGAAAATAACGCATAAAATGGTCCACATTAATAAAATTGTTTGTCCGGTTTTGTCAGTTTCGGTTCTCAACGTTACCAAACATGCCATGACAAGCAGTCTAAAATGTTTCTTCAATGAATGAAAATGAAAAAAACCATTATTTGGAATCGTTCGTCTAATTATTTTTTGTTCGGTTGAAAAGTTCTTACCTCTTTAGTGGGCTCAGTGTGCTGCTAGCTTGTGACAAATATTTTTTCGTATTTACAAAAAATTGCTTCTAGGTGCTTTTATCTTTTGTATAAGTTTATCAATTATTTGCTGGTGATAGTTTGATAAATAGTAGGCGATTAAATATCATTAAATGATACTTGTACTAATTAAGGGGTAGTTGTATCAGGGGTGGGCATATTTTTGTAGTTTGTCTACCCCTGATTTAAATGATACTTGTGTCAATTGAGAGGTACTTTCATATATCAAGCAAGTAAAACTTGTATGCTGTATCAGTTAAATAATGATATCACGTTCACAACAAACAATTCGGCAATAGTTTGTTAACAACTTGTTTGATAATCCTCATGTTATTTTTCTTCACATATTCATAGTTGTGAATTCAGATAGTTATTCAATTTAACTAGCTTCCAAAATGTTGCATTTTTCTGTTTTTAAATCGCGATTGTTTTGCTTTCAGAAGAGCATGTATTATTCCGTTGTTCTCGTTACTCAAAGTTTGTAAGATCTTTTGACATTTAAATGGATAAAGATAAGCCGTCCAAAGCAATTGTCTTTAGCGCATTTCGACTGGCATGTTTACTTACCTTTCATGATATTTAGGTAGGTTTGTTTCTGTTTTGAAAAAATACCCATTCCATATATATAAAATATAATATACATATATAATTTAGAATGTATATACTCTACTCTATGTATATTACCCATTCTTTTATATAAAAAAGAACAAATGCATAATTTCAGTTGACACGAAAATGGTTTTTTATTACATCGGCCGCTATATCTTTGTAACATTTTCCAGCCAAGACCTACTGTTTTTCAAACATTCTCAGGTATTGATTCAAACATTCTCAGATATTGATTCAAACATTCTCAGGTATTTTGATTAGTTAATCCAGCGCGCCAGTCCAGTGGAAATTGATAAACACACACGCATGTCGATGCATAGGTAAATACGGTAGATACGTAGATAAATATAGATACATAGATAAATATAGATACATAGATAAATATAGATACAGAGATAATTATAGGCAGAGATAAATGCAGTAGATACATATATATAGATAGGTATAACAAGTATGTACCTGGTTATGTTCGTTCGCAAGCGCCTTTGCAAGCTTAAAGAAACGTGCATTCTATTTTAGCGCAAAAGTTCGTTTGAAGATGAAAATTATACAAGAAGGAAGATAATGTGAGGATGGAGTCTGCGATGTGAGGGAAGCTGGATCAGTAATTATCATCATTATCCTGATGGGGATGTTGTTGTTCTGCTGAAGTTAATGATGTTCTTGTCAATGCGCTGCTGCTGTTTGTGATGTTGTTGTTGTTACTGTTGTTGCTGTTGTTAGTTTAGTGTTGTTAGTATAGTGTTGTTGTCATTACTTTGTTGATGGTATCGTCAGTGATGTTAATGGTTTCAATGTTTATTTTATGCTGGTGATGTTAATGTTTTGTTGATGGTATTGATATTTAGTCGACTCGTTAATATTTTACGGCTGATTTTTATATTGACCACGGCTACTTGCGTTTACAGTGTTTCTACTGGTGGAGGTGAATTTCTTTGACGTTGAAAATATTTGTACTACCGAGGTGTGTTTGGTTCTAAGCTTTTAAAAAGTTTTCGCTCTTGCAATTTTTTTTGCGACGATTTCAATGAAGAAAAAGGATGGCTGCTCATTAGCGAGGAGCGAAACGTTTTTATAAGTTGTACATCTGGCAAGCACTCCTCATCGGTTTCAACGTTAGACTAGAGTAACGAGAGTAGCGTAAAAGATAATTTCATTCGGATTTAACAAATTAAAATATAGCTACGATCTGGCAAGAACGAACAGCAAATGGTGAAAAATAAACATCAACGCGATAGTGCAGCACAAAAACTCAACTCACAGGAATGCATCATCCACAACAACAACATCCACAACAACATTGTTCACATCAACATTGTATCAACGACACAAAAGCTTTACAACACAAATTCAACATTTTGCAGTCAACATTTCATTGAAGAAATCAGTCGATAATGTAAGTTAGTCAAGCAAACAAATTGTTCCTAATGCATAATCATTGCACAAGCAGGCACGTTGGTATTTAGGTGTTTGTGCTACGAGTGTGTGTGCAATTTTTATAATTACAACAACACAAATAATTGTACTTAATAATAATAATAATAATAATAGATGTAATTGTGGCAGACGATTTAATTGCAAAATGACGAAGCCGACGCCATTTTAATGTGAGCACTTTCCCTCCTCTTGTTCATTCACGACCTTACAGCATTGCTCTGAATTTGTATTTGCGAGATTTGTTTTCTCGTTCTCTTCATGCGACGCAGCTGAATCAACGTAGCTTCACGCAACGACCAATGATGGTTTCGTATAATAATAATCGAGCCGTGCGTGGAGATTTTCTAGCTTCATGACTTGTGTTAATTCAATAGATGGTCATCCCTATTGAAAATTTAAAAAACTGTGGTTATAATTGGATTTGTTTCGAACAGTTGTCCCTTGTGGTGGTATGGTGGTTGCTTTGTGGTGGAAACCTAATGAAAGTTTAAAAATTTGTGTGCATGCGAAAACTTAGTTGAGTGTCTCGATTAATACGAATGTAGGAGGAAAATATGATTGGGCGTTAAAATATCCAAAAAACTATAATGAATGAAACGTTTTGAAATGAAAATCTTTGGAACTGACGTGAAATTGAATTAGGTGGCGAGCACAAAAAAAGCTCAACGGAACATTATTTCGACGAATAATTTTTTATTTCAGTTTGTGCTTACTGTTACTACGTGCCATTGAAAAGTATGCAACACGCAAGTGAACGTTGTTCGTTGTGCCTCCATCGAACATCGAATTGAATTCATGTCGATAAATTTAAGAGAAACTTAAATACAGGGTCATTATACAAAAACACGTTAGGTAAGAAACATACACACGTGTCCGTGATGACGTTCATGTAAACATACACGTACGCACAAACCAACAAACGCGTACACGAGCACATACACGCATAGAAACACGTGTATATAAACGCGCAAACAAAGATTTAGAGCAGCACCTTGCGGCTATTGAAAGAAATTGTTGCCAGTAATTTCTTCAATTAATCGCAGACTGCTTCCTTCAACAGCGATGATGATGACTCGCTCATTCAATAATGCTTTCTGCCGCGCATTATTATATTTCTGTGTAAGTGTGCGTGCGTGTTTATGTATGTGCGTGTTGTTGCATATATGTGAGTGCCTTTTTATTTATATGTGTGGATATAGGCATGTGTGTGTGTGTGAGCATGTATGTACATATTTTGTGAGGCCAATTTATAAATTTATACACCTCTCTCTCTCTTTCTCTCTTTCTCTCTTTCTCTCTCTCTCTCTCTCTCTCTCTCTCTGTGCGTGTGTGTGTGATGATAATTAAATGCGCAAAAAGTTACTTCAAATTAAGCTTTAGTCCGTTTCACGGTGCAGCCTGTTTAAATGGGTCTCCTCATTCTTTCTTTATATTTTAACAACTTTTTGTTTTTCGTTTGATCAACGAAATTGTTTTCAGCAAAATTATTAATGTGTAGAATAGTTTCGCCATTGGAAGTGGTTTAAAGTGATCGCCATCTGTGAGAGCAATGACGAATGATCGATCACAAACATCCATTCAACTAATTGTACTTGTAATGAACAAGGAGGGAGTTTATGATACACATTGCATTATCTGATAAAAAAATCTTAACTTTAAGACTGACTTGGTTGGTCTGGCTTCGCTAATATTTGAGCATCATGTTGTCTAAGCGATGAAGTCATCATCATCGTCACCGTCACCATTCTCAAATTATCGTTATGATGTGATAGAGATAATTATCATCTTCAGCATCATTATCATCGTAATCATCATCATCACAAAAATATTGTGCTTTGTTATCATATTCAAAAGCAACTTCGTTTTAAATGTTGTAGGCGTCATCATCATCACCACCACTACTCTAATCATCATCACCACCACTACTCTATTTTTCACCATCACCACCATTTTACATCATCTTCACCATCACTCTTATCATCATTACCACCACTTACATCATCGTCATCATCATCATCATTAAAATCATGTCTTTATCATTTCTTCATCATAATCAACAACAACAACAAAAACATCAACAGCAACGTCTTCATCATCATCATCCTATTTATCATTACCACCATCATCATCCATCATTCCAACCAACCTACCTACCTGTTCATAAACAAACTCGACACGCTTTTATGAATGTCGCTTTGATTTTAGGCATCAGCAGTTTCTCGAGACCAAAGTGTCAGCTGATTGGGTGGAAGAGAAAGAAGGGTGACCGTGGTGGAAAACTTTCAAAAAATGGTGAATACAATTAATGCAACTGACAATTAATACAATGTCATCGCTCCGGTTAACTTGTCTCAGTTATCAAACGTTGGTGAAAATTTTTTTTTGACAAATGTTTGGAGTTATAATACACTTGAATTCATGATACATTTGGATACATGATACATTTGGATACATGATACATTGGGAGACATGATACATTTGGATACATGATACATTTAGATACATGATACATTTGGATACATGATATATTCGAGTACCTGATGCATGCAATTAATGATTCATTCAATATTCGATGCGTTGGAATACCCAATTCACTGGATAGCACACACTTTGTGTGTTTATTTGTACACGCCGGCGTGATGGAAAAAGCAAAATACGTAGACTCTTAGTAGACAAGCACGCATTCAAAGCATGCATATACAGACATGCACACACACACACACACACAAACACACATACTGACTTACACATACAAAGCCTGAACACGTCGTGCAGACAAAAATACACACATTTACACACATGCACACTCACGCACACGCATACACACACATCCAGACACGCACACACAGAGCGTATAAACATAAGAAGGCAGTTTGAGGAGTCACGCAATGAAATTTTAAGAGGTTAACAAGCAGGAGTTGCTGGGTTAATCAACATGACCGGTAATCCAATCATCCAATTTGTTGACACTGAAATACTTTTCTGACATTTAGTGCTTGCTCGCTTGCTTGTGCAACATACAACGTGCAACATACAACGTGCAACATCCAATGGGCAACCCACAACATACAATTTACAACGTACAATGTGTTGTATTTATTGTTTTTTTTTTGTAATATTTTAATTGCTTGTCCACATGTACGTGCTAATATATTAAGTGATTTTGAAAATCAAACTTTTTATTTTCATATTAAATTTATGGCTGTGATTTCGAGTAAAATTTCATTTTTATTCCGTGAAGTTTTGGGTTAATTTTTTTTATATAAACATTTAAATATGACAAAAATCACAACAATCATCATCGTCTTCATTGATCATCGGTTATTGAATACATTATTTCCATCGTTGTTCCAGTTTTTCACTTCTTCCTCGCCATCCTCATTAACGTCACCACCAACTTCTCCTTTTCCATCTCCTCAATTTATCACCATCATCATCATCATCATCATCTGCCTGTCATCATCGTCATCATCATCATCATCTTCATCACCATGCATCATCATCATCCTCATCATCCCAATCAATCACACGTAGACTTAGAGACAGGTCAGCCAGGCCAGTTAAGTTTCAAATAGCTCATCAACAAATCAACATGCATTCAGATGGACGTTGCATGCATGTTGCATGCATGTTGCATGTATGCTGTATGTATACTCCAAGTTGCATGTATGCTGCATGTTGCATGCTTTGTATGTTGCTTATATGTTTTGTATGTTATTTCCGGTTGCATATATTTGCATAGTTGTATTGTTCTGTAAGTTGAGTGTATGCTGAATTTTTTCGCCTGCATGCTGAATGTTGTATGCAAGCTTTATGTTGTACGTTGAATGTATGTTGCATGTGACATGTTTTATGTGGCCCATCTAACCAAGCTGAACACGCGTGCAACAGAATCAAATGAATCTTACGACACAGCAGAGTTGTCATGTCCAAACTGCTGCCACACAATGATGTGATTAAGTGATGATGCCAGGTTGATAAATTATCAAAGATATGCGATGCAATTAATGATTATGTAATTTGTGATGATAATTTGAAACGAATGGTAACGATGATATAAAATGATGGTGATGATGATAAAAGCGACATGCTATGAATGTGTTGTTGAAAATTTGAAACGATTTATTCGTGCACACAACAAGATTGAAGGGATTGAAAAAGATAAAATCTTGAGTAAATCATTCTTTTTAAAACCCTAAAACCTCTAAAAACTTTAAAATGTGATGTTTTGAGATGAGTAATGGCAGGCTGGCTCAGATGAATAAATTATTTTGTAATATTTCCCTATTTAAAGTTGATCGTAATGATATTGTTATAAATAAAAGAGTTTTTTTTACTCTTTTAAGCTGATTTATAAAAACACAAAAAACTGCTTAAGAGTTTTTTTTTAAATAAGCTGTTTATTGAAAACAAACTTTAGAATATAACGTTGTAGATAGTACTTGACAATACTTATAAGAAGACAATACTTAAAAAAAGTGAATGAACCACAGTTAATGAGCAACATACACATTGTTATTTGTTAGAAAAACATCGGCACCACCTACTCTGGCATAAAGTTTCTTCTTATTCATAAAAACCGTACAATAATTTTTTTATTTGAACTACTTTTAAAAAATTGTTTACTCCTAGACTCTACTTTTTGTGGTACATATATTTATTTATTTTTCATTCATTTTTTTCTCATATATTGTTTTCTTCGGCCTTTTCTTATAACTTAGATAAACGTTGAATAAACTTTATTGCAAACGTCATAACATTTTTATGGAAAATTCCCAATTGAACGCATATCGTCTGACATCCGGTCAACTTTATTGGTCACGTGTTTGCAGAAGCCTGGCGCATGAAGACAATTTCCTATTGAGCCGCATTACCACCCGCAGCGAACGATGCACTCGCTGATTAAAAATAATTCCTCCATTCCAGCAACAACGTTGTCAACTTCGGAAATAATTCCTCCATTCCATCAACAGCGTCCAAACTACTGTCAGTCAATCCCTTCCACCAGGTCGTCACGAGAAAACTTGGAAGGTGCTCAACAACGCTCACAGTTCAATGAAGATTTGAAAAAAATGCTCCTCAATCAATAATTTAGTCCTGTTCTTGTGCTTGTCATTTTTCTTTATTTTTTTTTAAAGTTTTCATAGAAAGTGTTAAAACTTCTGAAGTATTGTTCCATGTTTTATTAAACGCATGTATACGAATTGTAAATGATTGCAAACCGTTTGTTTTATTATTTTGTTGAGCTTATGTTCATTTCAAAATGGTTTAGAGCAGTATAAGTAATTGTTGATGAAATGTCATTGGGATGCACTTTCCTGAATACGAATGCTTACAACGGTACATGATTGCTAAAACACGGCGACGCAAAATTATCTCTTTCAGTGTTGACGACGACAACAAAAGAAGCAATAAAAGAAAAACATTCAAAAATTGTCAAAATGCGCACATTGCAACATGTTAAGAATATTTAATTCCAATTTAATCTTCAAGTTTCAAAAATTATCGAAGCTAATTTCCGAAGTATTTAAGATCGAATTTCTTTAATCTACCACCAACTGTTTCCAAAGGACCGCCCCCAATTTACACAACAGCACGACTAACACGCATCTACCTTGTCCCTCTTATAAGATTCCGCATAACAGACTCGTCAGGCGAAGGCGTGCGTTAAATGTAAGAAGGCTGGGCCTGCGCTTGATTGACATAAATTTTCTTAATGATCACCTTCTTCGGAGAAATTTTCTCGTTATATAAATATAGCGCTGGCATTACAAAAGCTCTTTATTATTAGCTCTTTATTATTTTACCTTTCATGCTTTCAAACATGTTAACCACATTTTTCTAACGATCGATTAACATTTATGAAAAAAAAAATTGGGCAAAGATGACGAACTATCAGCTGAAGTTAACATCGTTCCTCATCGACGACATCCTCCTGCCGCAGAACCGCAGTGGCTCCTGCACCAGCAAACCAACAAACATCGGTGGGGCGAACGGCAGTGAAACAAACCTCGACCAAACAAACACACATCCTCATCTTTCTTCTCCAACCAAAAACAACAACAACAACATCTCATTCTATAAAAATAACAAACATAAAATTGATGACGATGTTATCAATAATTACAACGATGCAAGTTTCAATAGCCTCAAAAATATTTACAACAACAGCCTTGTTAACAGTCACATGTTCTTGAACAGTAGCAGCAACATTAAAAATGACATCATTGAAAACGAGATGAACTGCAAAGAGCTCTCCACGCTACAAAAACTCAACTGTAGTCTCAATTATCTCATTAAAAAATTTGAAAAACCACCACTTGGTTCGCTCAGGTTTGTACAGCAATCTTTGAAATCATCTTAATGACTTTTTAAACTTTTTCATTCGCTAACTTTACAAACATTCACAACTGCTTTGGATTATAGACAATTTTTTTTACTTGCGTGCCACTCTTCAGTGCAACAAACTTTGAAACGCATAGGCCTAGCACTTTGTTTCTAACATCATTGCAGGAAGTAAAAAATTTGGACTGCTCTTCTTCTTTCGCAGCTGATTAAAACTTATTGCTTTTATTTGTCGACATTTTATTTGAACACGTATGTGGGACAATGGACTCTTATTATTTTTTAAAAATACATATAAAAATGTTTCATAAACCAGCAAACTAGTATCAAATAAGATTTCTGCATTCAAATTCACTCAATTTTTTAATCATTCCAAAATTTTCTTTAATTCACAGAAGTAGTAAAACAAGTCAAGAAACTAAATGTTTCTAAAAACGCAATTTTGTAAATTTATCATAATAAAAAAGCTGAATAAAACAACAATATAATCCGTAGTTCATGATCATACACCTTACTTGCTTGAATGTTGTTTATTGTAACATAATTTCAATGAAAAAAAAATAAATCAAGTGAAGTGAGAGTCTGAATTAAATTCATTAAAATATCTATTAACAACTTAATGGAAATCTGTACAAACAGGTCGATTTCGCCATGGGCGGACCCAGCAGCAGCAGCAGCAGCACCTCAGCAGCTCCCCGACTACCAAACCTACCCCCACCCATCACCATCCAGCAACATCAATCTACAGCATTACTTATTACAACAGCAGCAGCAGCAACATCACCAGCTTCACAACCACCACCACCCTCGCCACCATCTTCACTCCTCCATGCATCCAATCTTCTCGAACATTCACCGATCAAACACACTTTTGAATTCTGTTTCAGGTTTGCGGGGCGTTTTAGTTATCCAAGATCAAAACAAAAATGATAAAATTATTCTGAACAGTTTAAAACGTAGTAACGTAATAAAACGAAAACCAAACAAAACGACTGAAGCAGGTTTCCGAATAAGGAGCATGTACGGTGGCACGTCCCTGGCATGTACATCGGCAGACCTGGGCAAACACGCGTGCAGTAGCAGCAGCAGTAGAAGGAGGAAGGCACGAACAGTTTTCAGTGACCAACAGTTGTCGGGACTTGAGAGGAGGTTTGACAAGCAGAAGTACCTGTCGACGCCGGAGAGAATTGAACTGGCCAACCAACTCAATCTCTCAGAAACTCAGGTTTGTAGTATCGGACAATTAAGTAATTATTAATTTATATATATATACATATACATATACATATATATATATATATATATATATATATCATTAAAATGGGCGGCGTGGTGGCTTAGTGGTTAAGATCGTCTGCTGCTGTTTCACAGTGTGCAGTCACCGGGTTCGAATATGACAAAAAAAATCCCCACCTATGACATGCTTGGCGTGTGATGCGTCGTTCAGTATGGTATTCATAAAGGGCAGGGCTGGGATGTTGATTGCTCCGAACATAGGAACCTCCAACCTTTTTTAACCTTTAAAATATGTGTATGCTGGTTGACATATTATAAGTGTTTCTTTGTCTGAAAATTGACTTGAAAAATTATTAGAGAATTAAAAAGTCGGAAAAACAATTTTTTCACTTCCATATTTACGCCAATTTTATCTATATAAGATCGTCTGCCATTCGTACGCTGTTTAAACTTGAAATATGAGAGGTTTGCAACATTTTTAACTTTCGAATAAGAGTCAAATTTTGAACAAGTTTAGTTACAAATCTGGGATAATGTTACTTCAGGCTTGCATGGTTTTAATCAAAATGACTTTTTTCTTAAATCCGTCAAGTGATTTTGATTGGTTGAAGTCCTGCATGGAGAACAATCATTTGAACGATGTGACCATTCACATAATTTGACGATGAGTCAAAATCGTCATATCATTTTATTGCAAACTTATTCAAACATCATCATAAATTAAAAAAAAAAGAAAAATCAACTTACATACGAGGGTCCTTAAGACAGTGGTCTCACTGTGCACATTTGCATAGCTTTTTGTGTTTAAAAAATATATATAAATTATAGTGAAAAAATATTAAATGTTCCGTCCTATTAATCAACAGGTAAAAACTTGGTTTCAAAACAGACGAATGAAACAGAAGAAAACTCACCGCAAGACAGCTGACAGCATTGAAACTGACGAGACGAGCATGTCGAAAGATTTGTACGAACATGGTGAACATATGAAGAACGAGGCGTTCGTAGGTGGTGAACAATCGGACGAACGGATGAAAAGCAACTACTTCGACGAATCAAGTGATGATGAGCAAGACGATGACGATGATAACAAAAGTAATAATTACAACAAGGATGATCAACAACGTCATCGGAAGCACGATGATGATGACCATCATTCCTCTGGGAATAGATCTTTCTGCAACTACGATGACGAATATAAACACTCGTACATGACTTCCAGATCCAATTGTTGAATGACTCCACTATTACTTCACTTTAACAAAATGTCAACGAACAACGTGTGAATATCTGGCCTATGCATCAGTTCGTTTTTAAGATTTAATTTATTTTCCGAATAAAGATGGGTATCGTCACAAAATAAAATTTTAGTAGTGTGAATATCTGGCCTATGCATCAGTTCGTTTTTAAGATTTAATTTATTTTCCGAATCAAGATGGGTATCGTCAGAAAATAAAATTTTAGTAATTCAACTAGTCACCATGTATTTGAAATTGTATATATGAATGAAACTCGATGAAATACAACACAAAACTTCAAGAGCTTCACGACTTCTTTCACCTACTATGTCTGTAGAGTTTTATTTAAAATCATTTATTAAACTTCATCTAACACAATTGTACAGCATTTAAAACGTAACAATTTTTGTTAAAACTATTATGTCTGCATTTTCACTCAAAAATAATTTAATAAATGTTTTGAAATAGAAAAAAATACGAATACTCGACTATCGTGAATTATTACATTAAGAATTATGACAATCATGAATTATTACACTATAAATTATGACAATCATGAATTATTACATTATGAATTATGACCATCGTGAATTATTACATTATGAATTATGATACATGCATGTGTTTATTTCATTAACGGAAATAGACCAACGTTATGAAAACCAGTCTGTTAGAAATAATTTATTCTCTTAAAAATGTTCATTAGCCAATTTGAATGATACCTAGAAAATATAATTTCGTTTGTTCATAAATTGCCAAATTCTTTCTGTTTACACTTTTTAGTTTTGTTCAATAGGCTCATTTAAATTGCGACAAGTTATAATGAACAGCAGCGAAAAGGCAAGAAATAAATAAACAAATCATTTTTGTTTAACATTTTGACAAAGCTAAATTCGTGAAATGAAATGGCCAGTTTATAACAAAGAACGCATTATTAAAATCTTCATTGATTTGTGGTTAGATAGGAAATAATGGTGAATAATAAAAATAACAAAATGAAGAACTCATGTTAATAAATGTTAATAAAAACGATAATAAATAATTATAATAGCAACAAATAACAATAATAATAATAAATGATAATAATTAATGTTGATATGAAGAGTAAAAGAAATAATAACGAATGGCTATAGTCGAGAAGTTGTTGTTTGCAGTGCATTTGTGACTGGTGCAAACTGCCAGTGAGTCGAATGATAGCCTCCATTTGCTGCCTCTCGTGAGATTTTGTTTCTTCTTCCAGCTTCGTTTTCAACTTATCTATTTCTTCTTCCTACGTATATTGTTGTTGTTATTCGATGTTTTTGTTTGATTTTGTTGTGTGTTATTTGTCGCTGTTATTTGTGTTGTTGTGTTTTATGTGTCGCTGTTGTTGTTGTGTGTGTTGTCGTTTCAATGTGGCCGTTGGTTCTGCTGAGAACGACAAGACAACAATCCTCAATCAACAATCATCTACGTTCATCACTCGACAACAATATTACATAACCGCTAACAACAACAAATATCACCAAAAAGAGAAAGAACATTAAATATCAAGCACTGCCAAGTGAAATAGGCAATTAAAAAACAAATAAAAAACACTAAACAAACGGCAGCAAAGCACAACGCCAAGTAGAGCAACGAAGAGACTCCATCTAACATATTTAGAGACAAGTACAATTTGCTTCAAGAGGGTCCTTTCCAGCATGGACAACTCATCTTCTTTCTTCACGAGATCACTGGTCAGGGCATCATGCTCCACCCTTGCCCTCACAGACATCTCCCTGGCATCAACGAGCTGAGAGTTCAAATTGTCAAGAAGCGTCTCACAGATTGACATCTTCGCCAACAGCTGCAACGTGAATACGTACATTTCAAAACAGAAATTCACTTGAAAACTAACAGCTTAACAAATAGCGGGAGCACGCCATCCACAAAAACATTACAAACAACCACAATAAGAAACAATAAAGACGACGTGAACATAAGCAGATGGACAGACAGGCAGACAGACGGACAATAACGATCTACCTCTTCGTGATCTAGCATGAAGGCATCGAGTCGTGCCCGGAGGACATCACATTGAACTTGCAACCTGCCTTCCTTTCCATTCGATTCCTCCAACATTCCCTCACAACTCACCAGCTTCTTTGTCATCTCTTCCTTCTCATCTGATGAAAAATAAGAAGATGATAAAGGATGATGATGATGTGTGATGTATGATGACATTGGCGGTGTTAATAACATTCGCGATGATGGAGTTATTTAGTGATGAAGATGATGACATTCGCGCCAGTTCTGATTAATAACTTCTCTCAATTCCATATGTTTTTATATGCCATTATTTAAATTCTATCTCAGCGTTTTATTTCTACACATTTATAAATAAACCAGGCATCAAATTCATATTCTTTCGCAATGAAGTTTGATCCTTTTTGCTTATATTCTTTAATAAATTTTTTCCTTGCACAGTGCGAATCTTCTAAAAAGTCATTCGACATTTATGATGACGTCACAAAGTTTTGTAGTTGTATACAAGCTAGACATAATGGAAGATTGTTTAAAATCCTTTGAAATCCTAAGGTACAATCTGTTCAGTTTGATCAAATGTGTACCTTTTTAATTCACATTTGGGATCTGCTTCTATAAAATAACTAGGATGATATTCAGAACATCTACTTTTTTTCAACCAAAATTGCAACAAAATTTTCATTATTTTTTTTGGGTTCACTTTGCAATAAAAATACGAACATGCATGCATGCATGCACTCCAATCAGGTAAAAAATGCATGCCTCCCAATAAAGCACGAATAAGCAGATGCAATAAATAATACAAGCCAACAAGTGAGAGAAAAAACTTACATATACAAACATAAAAACGCACAGTGACATCAATCAGTCAATCAATCTTCGTTTAGCATCCAAAAACCCAGTTCCCCCGAATTAGGACATACAAAGATACAGACAGAGAAAAGAGGTACGCAAACAAACAGAGAGAGAGAGAGAGAGAGAGAGAGAGAGAGAGAGAGAGAGTGAGGGAGAGAGAGTGACACACACAAACAAAGAGAGACACAAACTTTCAAGAATACTACATCTAATCCTGGATATCCTCATATCCCTGGCATGCTCCTCCCTCAGTCTTTCCATCTCCATCCTCAACGTCATGATCTGTTTCTCTCTCTCCATTGTGAGCTCTACAGATTCCAAACTATCACCTTAATGGGATCAAAAGGTTATCATTCATAAATGATATCATCGTAACCATAATTTTCATCAATAACCATAAAAAATTATGGATATTATAAATATAAATATTAATACCATAATCATTGAAATGGGTTACTTTAAAACGAAAATGAACAGCACAAGGCAAACCTTTCTTTAAGATGCCATGCTGATGATCACTTTTCTTTTGGTTGTAAGAGTTCGACATGACATTAATGTTGTTGTTGTTGTTATTATAGTTGTTGTTGTTGTTGTTGCTGCTGTTAGGACTATTGTTGTTAGTGAAAATACTTTTAATGTCGTTAGCATTGAATTCACCTGTAGTGTTATAGATACTATAACTGCAGCTGTTGTCTTCTTGAGATGAAATTTTTTTATATCTGGAGGAAAGTTGCTGCTGCTGATAATGAGGTCGTGGGTGGTCACTTTCATCAGCTTTAACTCCTTCATCCTCATCATCATTAGCATCTTTATAATCACCATGGTGATGATTGCAATAAACATTCAAGAACTTGTTACAGTTCCTCGTGGTTGTCTTCATGCCACCACCATCATCATCTTCTTCTTCCTCCTCCCCATCATCATTATAAGTAAATTTACAGCGATTGTTTTGTTCATCATTGTAATCTTCGTTGTTTTTGTTTCTCATGAAACCACACAAAAGTTTATGATTTCTAGTTTGGGGGTAGTTTTGTGTTTGTTGGTGGTTTTGGTTGTGGTGTGGCATGTGTTGTTGTGTGGAGTGCAATGGTGTGAAGTATTGTTGTTGGGTGGAATGGTGTGGCTGTTGCAAGCATCGTCCCAGTTGGTTCTGTAATTGTTGTTTTGGTGAGGAATATATCTGTTTGTTGCAAAGTGAAGATGGAATACGACTGTTGTTGTTGTTACTGTTGTTAATACCGTTGACATGAGAATGATTGCTCCCATCACCATCCTCTTCTTCCTCCTCCTCATCATCATTATCATCTTCTACTGAATCATCTAGAAAATCATCAAAACCATCTGTGATTAAGGCTTCCAACTGCAATATAAATATTTATCAATTTAATTTTTTAATGATAATAAAGTGATGTTGCAGACATAAAAAAAAAAATGATAACCAGGTGATGATCATAGAAACCTTTTAAATTTTTAATTCAAGTCATAAACTGCATTACAATGGAATGTAAAAAATGATGATCATAAGAAAAGTTACAACTGAAGACAGAGCTAAACATGGCAGATGAAAATAAATATGTATGACTACAAAATCGTAGGTGATGTCTGATGCTGAACCACTGAGCAGCAAAACCACCTCAATCTCTCTCTGCCTATCATCATTTTCCATGTTGAGCTGGTGATCATGTTGTAAACTGATATTCGAAAATGACACTGTTGTTGAGCTGTCATCCATTTTTATTTTTACTTGAGAGAGCTTTTAGAATTGAACAATTAAAAAATTAAAACAAAAATAATTAATTAAACAAACAATTATAGAAAAATATTTTTTCAGTCAAAAAATAAAAGTTATATAAAAGTGGTTTGAACTGAAACTAATTATTACAACTTTAAAAAACAAACCTTTATTTAATATTAATTTATTAATGAACAAATCAACAAATGACTTGCTGTTTTTATTTATCAATAATCAATAAAGTTTTCTTTTTGGCTTTTTAAAACAGATTATCATTATTAATCATATTAAACTAATCAATGCAATTTTTATTGTAATAAGTTATTTTGTAACCAGCATTCTGATAATTTATTTCATTAAAATTTGAATGCATGAGCCAAGGCCAACATGCAGAGATGATTGAGAATATTAAATTTTATTATAATTATTTATTAAATGAATTTATAAAAAGTAAAAAAAGTACCTGAACAATTGAACAGGTTTCTAGTAATTAGAAAAAAAAAATATTTATTTATTAAAAAAATTAATTTTCAGTAAAAAAAAATTATATTAAGAAATCAAAATAAACTGGAGAAAAGTGAGCGGATATAATAAAGATATCAGTCTTTATTATTATTATTCCAGCCGCATTTTCTTAAATTTAAACTTTTAAACTTTACAACCACCACCACATGTGCATAAAACATTTTTTGTCTATTTTGAAACGGGCGCATTTTAATTCAATGTTGAGATTAGTGATGCTCCTCCTTTAATACCGAGCTTGAAAGAATTTTACCGTCAGAAACCGTTAATTTGGTCGGGTTAATTTGGTTAATTTGTAGCAATGTATGCAGCACAATTGATTATTACAACTTAATAATTATGTACGGAACGAAACTGCCTATCCTAGCATGGTTTAATGGAATGGGATTGAACTCAATTTATTCTTAATTCTGCCGCTAGGTTTGTTTTGGGTACCGAAATTTAAGTTGATATCGAGCTAGATAAGAAATGAATTACGCTTGTTTAGTGTGTCAGATAGAATTAAATTTAGATAAGCTCTGATTGTGAGAGATTGTTTTGTGGGAGGAAAGGCACCAGTTTATAAAAGAAAAATTTTTGAAGCACGTATTAGAAGCGACTACTCCAGTTTGATTGAAATCCTATGACAACGGCGATCTTGTGCTTCCGCTGTTCAAGTTTTTCCATCTCTTCTGATAAAAGTTTAGAAAGATCTCCTGTCGAACTGAGTGTAATTAAAATTAGTCGTGATGAATTTAAGAAACGTTTTAAACGCCGCCTATTCAACAATAGCACTTCGGGATTGCACTTCTGAAGATTGTTCACAAGAGGCGTTCTACAAATTTTGAGTGAGTACAATACAATTTAGATTACAATAGCAATTAGATCCACCGACTTATCAACGGTTTTCTTGATCAGGACTTTTCTTGCTTGGGATTTTATACTGATATTGCCTTATCGTGTTTTCCCCATTATGAACTTAAACTTTTAATGGAAACATGAGCATGATTTATTTACTGCAATTTATACAATGAACTATTTAGGAGCAGATGAGAATTGATTGCGGTGATAACAGCACTCATTTTTCCAGGTCAACTTTCAATAAAATTTGCAGATATGTTCTATAGCTCAATTTTTATACCAAATCTTAGTGGGTTCATGAAATAAAATTTTTACGTCGAAAGTATAAACAGTTAGACATTGTGTATCTGTAACTATGTTTATTGCTTATATAAGTTTGATATTTGCATTAGGATAAGGTTAATGACAACTTTACAAAACATTTCAATGCAATATTTGTAAAAATAATCAAAAAAAGAACAATAAAAGGCACTTTTTACAGCTAAAATTTGGTAAACGTCTTTTTATAAATATTATAGTTGAAAATTTTAAACAACTGAAACCGTCATATGCTGGTATGAAAAGATGAATATATAAAAAGTGATTTGTTATTAAAAAAAATAGTTTTCAACATAAAATGGAACAACAATATTTTTTTAAATTTAAAATTAAATCATGATGTGAACTGTGACAAAAACGCATACATTACCACCATCATTTCAATATGACAACATACGAAATAACGGTAGACATATATCATAAGTAGAAAAACTGAAAAAATGAAGTGATAAAAATTTATTAACCAAAAAAATTTCGAATGACATGTTGATAAAAATTATTTATTAAATAAAAATGTTCTGTCAAATATTAATATTCATTCCTCTAGCGAATAACGTTTCAACAATGGTTTGTAATTTAGTGTTGTCTTTCGCCAGTGACTTCATTTGTTCGTTTGGTGGTCTTTTTTGTGCTTCTCTGCCTCAGCAAGCTGTCAATTGAAATTTGAGATAGAAATTTAAGCAATTGAATAACTCTCGTTAAGATTTTAGTTTAAGCGCAATAAATATTCACACAATTCACTTATAATATTCACCAAAAAACGTTCACAAATAAATCCAGAAGCAATGTAAATAACCTAATTTAGAATTTTCATTGAGGACCGAGTTGGAGATGAGGTCTAACAGTTCGGAAAAGGATGGTTGCTTGAAGTTTTCCACGAGGTCGTCTTCGTAAATGACATTAAAGTGATCGCCGAAGTTGCTGTAATTGTTGTAGTTGTTGTAGTTGATGCTGTTTGTGGTGATTAAGCTGTTGGCGATGTTGTTGTTGGCCTGAAGATGTTGGTAGCCCGTTTGAATGTTTGGATATGTTGTGTACTGTGGATGGTACGATATGATTTGGTTGGGGAAATTCGAAAGGTTGTACAGCTTGTTGTCGTTGTTTTCAACTGCAAAGTTTTTGTTCGAATATGCATCAAGAGGCATCTTCGTGTTTGTTGTCGTTGTTAGTGTTGTGGCTGATGTAGAAGTAGAGGATGACGAAGCATCATCATCATTAATGTTGCTGGCAGGTTTTACATTTGTGTGCATGCCATTAGAGACGATGTTGTTATACACAGTGTTGTTAATGTCTTTGCTATGGCTTCTGTAATGTTGTTGCGAGGGAACACCATAAACGTTATTCTGATTTTCAACAAAATAGTTGTTGTAAACGTTGTTGTGGTTGCTTGACGATGTTGTTGTTGTTGCTGCTGCTGCTGCTTCTTTACCATTCCCACTACCGAGTTGACTTTCAACTGAGCTGACAGCAGGGAGCAGTTGAGTTGGCTTCATTTGTTTGCTCGTCAGGAAACTGTTGGTGTTCATTTTTTTAAATAAATATTTACAATGCATCAACCTGTTTCATTGATTTTGTGGATGGAAGTGGCAAACAGGACAAAGAAAAACCAAATAAAGATTATTTCAGACAAAAACAAACAAAAAACAAACAAAATAAATTGTTGATAGACTGTCAGCGAATGTAAGTTATGAGAAATTGCATTGCTGGGATTGGTAGGAGCACGCGTGAAATATCATGTGAGTTCTAAATGGGTGCACAATGCATGTCACACTGTGCAGTAAATAATTTAATTACAATAATGGCCGCCTCTTGTACGAGCTCAACATCTCATTCTCATGAAGTATTGTTTATTAATAAATAAATAAATGAATGAATAAATAAATAAATGAATAAATAAATAAATAAATAAACTAATTAAATTGATTCGTTTAATTCAGTTGAATGGCGCTGACGAAATGGCACCAATCACAACCCAACTGCCTGCCCGACCAATGAGAGACTGAGACGCCCAAACGCCAGTCAAAACGATTCATTATTACTATCATCTAGTATTTACTTTTATCTTTTTTTTTGCTTTTTTTACTCTCTCTCTGCTCTCTTTCTTTCAATTTTCTCTTTCTTTCCCTTTCTCCGACTTTTCCCTTCCGTTGAATTCGTCTGTTGTTTCTGTTCCAATTTTTCACGTTCTACACATTAAGAATGATTCAGTGTTATACATACATGCGCCAGTTTATTGTATCTTTGTCCTGTCCTTATATGTATATATATATATATATATATATATATATATATATATATATATATATATATATATATACACGTAATATTGCAACATTAATAAATCATAGCAGTTATGTTATCGTTATAACTGTTCCAACTTTCTAGCGAAGAAGAGTGGCAGTAGCAAGTGCAGAAGTGTGTGGAAATGTGAACCGTTGCCCAAGAAATATGCATAGGTACATAATATAAATTACAGTGTACACATTCTCTTAAAACTGTTGATATGTGCAGAGGGTTGCCGATCACCAATCAAATCATCACATCATCACATCAATACATCAACACATCATTACATCATCACATCAATACATCATCACATCATTACATCATCACATCAATACATCAACACATCAATCTCATCAGAGCACATTCACTTCATGCGCAACATTGTTCAATATCACAGCGTTCCCAAGGTCTGTCGCATTTATTTATACAGGCTTACAGGCCTTTACCTACACTTAAAATGATATGTTTACTGTTTACGTTCAACTGTGTGTAAATGGATGAGCGTAAGCATTGACATCATCTGGTCATTAAATTTTGTTTTTGCTATCATCATAACTCATTACAACAACACCGTTACAGGCATCCATCCGCAGTTATTAGCATTCAGCATCATCACCATATCCATCATCATCGTCTTCTTCATCATCATCTTCATCATCACCATCTTCATCTTCATCATCATCATCATCATCATCATCATCATCATCATCATCATCATCATCATCATCATCATCATCATATCCATCATCATCATCATCATCACTACCCTCACCATCATCATTATCATCATCACCACCACCATCATCATCATCACCACCACCATCATCATCATCGTCGTCGTCATTGTCATGAATGTTACTGCGTCTCCGCCGAAAATTGCTCTCTATGAATAAATTTCACCATATGAATTATATACCAAAAATTTATAATACAAGTTGTAGTTGTTGATTTTGGAGCAGCTGCGGTGGCCACAAGTTGTAGTTGTTGATTTTGGAGCAGCTGCGGTGGCCACAAACCTCGCCACCGCCACACCACAGACGTCTCAGCTACTACCAATATCGATGACAACTATGATATATATATCGTGATATATATATATATAATAACGATAACGAATTTGACAGAAATAGGAGTAACCAAAAAATAATGATAAATAATAGTGATAATAATAATAATATTGAGAATAATAACAACAATAATAATAACAACAATAATAATAACGACATCTCCAAACATGGGAAGACGCTTTGTCATGCAAGGCGATTATATAGATTCATCGTTCTCACGATATCTTCTGCACACAACACAAACAACAACAGCCCAAACAATGACACAAAAAACAACATCACAAACAACGACACATACAACAACACAAATAGCAACAACACATACAACAACACATACAAACACACACACAACAACACACAAATCAAACTTATATTTTGTTTGAAAGCATAGACATGCACATTCAATCACATACAATTGTCACTTAATAAGATAACTTTTTGAAAGTTTAATTTCGAATATACAAGAAACAAATTGAAACATCCCTCACTAAAATACAAAGACAAATTTTAACAAATGAAACACAAAATACGTAAAAAACAAAATAAACATAATAAACATCATAAACATCATAATAAAATCATCATCGCCATCAATATAAAAAACATTCATCATAAAGACACAAATGCTGTAACATAAGCCAAAACCCCCATGAATATACATGACGTATGATAATTTTTATGTTTGGCCCAGAGAGCATTTGAAACCGTTGGGCACGGATTAACTTATGAGACAATCTTACCATCTGAGCTACCAGCCAAATTGTTTTTAATTTGTGGCGGTTGTCAAAGTTATCTTGTTAGTTTTTCCAGTTTTCTGATATCTCTGTGCTTTTTATGGTGCTATTTGCATATGTTGACGTAATGAATTTGTTGCCGAGTATTTCAACTTTAGTCTGATCATTCCTTAGCAATCAACTATTTCACTAAATTCATCCGAAAAACAATCCTTCCACTAAATATATTTGTAAAAACTCTGAATCTCATGTACGCATCATTGAAAAATCCTTCTTTGCGTTCGTGGGTGCCTGCATCATCACACGCGTTCGCTCGTTCGTTCGTTCATTCATTCGCTCGTTTGTTTGCATGTTTGTTTACATGATTGTTTGAGTCATGTCAACAAATATTATAGAAGCTTTGTGTGCACGCGTGCGCGCGTGAGTAACGCGAGTTAAATAACGATAAAAAGACAACATGCAAAACGCAAATACATTGATACACGTGCACACAACAGCGCACAACAGCATACAACATCAACAACATTAGATACGTCGTACACGCAACTAATTCTACTCATTTGATTCGTGTGGGTGCAAGTATGTACGTACAACATATGTGTGCTCACCTCCCATGTATTCAAACAACTAACAATGAAAACGTATCGCGTGTTACTCGTCATAAATGTAACATACATACTACAACCATAACATGTTCACACACTCACACATATCTGCGAATTTGATTGGCTGCTTGTTAGTGCACACAAACTGTACGCACGCATATGTAAAGTGTACAAAATATTGCGTGTACGAAAGATGCTTTTGTTTGTTTGCATACGCGTGCGTGTGTAGAACGCAGATGATGTTTGTTTGTTAGGGCGCGAATATGTGATAGAAAGAAGGTTGAAGCATGCGTGCGTGCGTCATGCTGATGTAACCTGTGAGAAAGTTAAGTTGGTGGCTGTCAGGATGGTGGTGGTGGTGATGATGATGATGATGATGAGGAGGAGAGGATGATAATGATGAATAGATAGTGAGATGATGAGGCTGGTGATTGCGGTTATAAATAACTTAACGATAACTTTGATGATGATTAGTGGAGAATATAGCTCACAACAAAAACGCAACGTTGTACAACATTTCATTTGATGTGCAACTTTTAAAAACTTTAATTTCATCACAAAACACCACTTGAAACAATGACACGATATCACTACATTAATAAACATTACAACGACATATCGTAACACAACGGACAAACACTTAATGACATCACTTGAAACAGCTCATTACAACAAAAACACAACAAACACATCATTACAGTTACAACAAGACATTTAATGTTTATGATAATTAACAACAAATCATAGAAGAAGACATCGTCGTCACTTGTTATTGCTCCTAATTGACTTCACTTTTATGACCGAACCTCGTGTTTGAATTTGTTGGCTGCTGTTGTCTTTGTTGCAAATTGTTGTTGTTATAATGTTGTTAGAACTGATGTTGTTGCGTGTGGTAATGTTGCTGCTGTTGTTGTTATTATTGATATTTTTGCTGCTGTTGTTGATGTTATTTTTCGGACATTGTAATACATGTTGACCAGCGTATGTTGTGTTAGTTAAAGTTGTGTTGTTGTTGTTGTTGCTGCTGCTGCTAAACAAATTAACGTTAGCTGGATTGAAGTTGTTGTTTGTTAAAGTGATGTTAGTATTGTTGATCCAGTTATCATAAAGAACGATGTTATTTGTTGTTGTTGTTGTTTGTGGTGTTGTGAGTGCAGCGAAGGCGTTTTTTGCAAGTTTGTCGATGATAGCGTAGCTTGAATTGTTAATAGGAACGTTGTTATTTATGCTGCGGTTGTTGTTTGTGTTGTTGCTCTTCATTAAATTATTATTTGTGTTGTTGTTGTTAGTTGAGATATTCAAATCGCTTATTTGGTTATTTCTTATCACGTTGTTATTTGCACCGATGTTGCTATTAGTATTCATACTGTTGTTGTTGTTGTTGTTGATGATGATGTTTGTTGTAATGTTGTTGTTCATAACATTATTGTTGACGATGTTGTTGTTTGTTATGTTGCTTAACACGTTCGCATTCGACAAAGAGTTGTTGGAGTTGTTGTTCTTCAAGTTGCTCACGTTCATGTAGTCGTAGCCGTTGTTCACAACGCTCTGCTGGATGTTGCAGTCAAACGAAGGCTTGCGGTGAGCAGCGCCAACTTCACAGATAAGACGGTTGGTGAGCTCATGTTGGCTCGCATCTCCGTACTGATATGTGTAGTCGTATTCATTAACAGCGTAGTAAATATTTTTCACTGATGATGTGTGGTGGTGGTCAGTTCTGGATGTCGGTTGTGGGTGCTCTTCTACGTTCACCGCCTTCAGCCGTGGAATGTCCATCGAAATCATTTGATTGTGAAATGTTTCGAATTTGTCAACACTCTGTTGGAATGTTGGTTCGTGCGTTCGTAAGTCATTGAAGATCTGGTTAGACTGGCTGTATGGCAATGTGAACTGCTGGTTCCGCTTCGAAAGCAGGTTCAAACCTTCATCCTCCCTGTTGGCAGACATTCACGACGTGAATTGTAACTATCCGTTGGAAAGATTGTTATACAACATTCATGCGTGACAATTTGAACCGCGTTTTGCCAGGGAACGACAACAAAAACAACATTTCCCATAGTGCAAGAGACATCGTTTAATACAAATAAGATACAATGCACTAACAGGAATGATCAACCATCAAATTTATTCAAATTTCCGAATACTCCAGGAAACCATCCCTGTTCCCTTCTAAAGACACAATGCCATCACCCGAGCACAACTCCGATACAAAACTCGTGAAAGTATTTAAACTCAACTGGAATGCGGACACCATCCAACATCGCATAACTCGAAAGCTTGTAAAATAATACGATGGATGTAACCCCTCGCGTGAAACTTACGTGAGCAGGCGATTGAATGCTTCAATGGTTTCCGGTTTGCTGCTCCTGTAGAGGAGTTTGCAGTTGGTCTGCATCCAGAGGACCTTCATGTTCTTGCTGACCACGCGGTAGACGACCATGCCGCTGCTTCCCGTCTTTATCACTGCAGTGGTCATTAATACTAATAATGCTAATAATAATATTTAATAATAATAATATTTAATAATAATAATAATAATAATATTATTATTATTATTATCTCTTAGATATTCCTAAGAGGTAGGGGTTGTTGATGATGATGATACGATATGATGTGCTAAATTAAAATTGGATCTATATAATTTTTAAAAAGATACGATAAATAAAGCAAAATATAATGAAGAAACAACAGTAAGACAGACAGACAGACAGACAAACACATACATTGTTCATGTGCCCTAGAGAAGTACTGAAGATCAAGCGGATGCACCAAGTTGTACATGTTCAGTGGAGATAATGATGGTGGTGGTGTTGGGGTTGGGGAGGGTGATGACGGAGTTGATGTCGATGTTGATGATGATGATGATGATGACATCAAATTCTCTGCTGAGTAACCGAGTAGTGAGTAACCCCTTCAATTAAAAATCATTACATCGTTATAGCAATTGAAGCATCATCTTCATTATTACCATTTTTATTTTTCATTTTTATCATCATAAATTTTAAATTGTCATTAATATCAAGGTATTAATAACTTTTGCAGGTACTTTGCAAAAGTTGTTAATACCTTTAATATAATATTTCTTTTATTATCATACAGACCGCACCTCTACCATAATGCTGGTGAGTTGTTGGCTCAAACGGTAGGAGTGCGGTGTCTTATTGCGTGCGTACCTAGTTCAAATGCCGTCATTCAAAGCTTAAAAACCATCGCATGTCTTCCTTGTACAATGAGTTGCTTTGCTTGCACGTACAGACAACACGTGCGTGTATGTCGTGCGTCACAAATGTTGAATTGCAGCAAAAAAAATTTATAGCGGTAGAAAATCAGTTCTGCGTTCGTCAAGACTGCATGAAAATGATATTATGACAAACTTTGGTTCCATAGAAAGCAGACTCATGTCCATCTTCAGTTTACTTTTAAACATCGACTGTGATTGGACGAGGTCGTCAGTTACAATGGCGCCAAATGGACAGCAAAGAACAAACAGGACGTAATTCGATGAGAAGGGATGATAATGATGACGATGATGATGATGATGGTGATGATGATGTGTTGTTGTTGTCGAAGTTGGTGTTGTTGACTGTGGCTGACTCATTTTTTTCCTCGAAAAATTCTCACTGAAGTTACTGATATTACGAAGTTTGCCGGTTATTTCGAAAGCCTGTTAAAAATAGTGGGATGTGAAATATTTTAGCTTTAGTTAGTACTATCCACACTCGACATTTTTCTATTTTTTTCAGACTAAAATTTATTGTATAAAAAGAAAAAAATAATTAAAATAAAATTGTAAGTTAATCAAATATATGTAATATAATACACTTTTTTAAAGTTTATTCCGAATAAAAATAGTAGCAAAGCAATTAACTGAAAACATCTTACAATGAATCCAGAAGCATTAGTCAGAAGGCATCGAAATCGTACTGTGAAATTTCTTCTTGCCGAAAAATCTGATTGAAATTATTCATTCCACATTTTACTTCAAACTTTTGAAATATTTAAGAATATTTTTTTCAAATTTTTTTGCAAATGCATGCAAAGATGTTAACAACCGAGCAACGAAAGCTAAATTAATTTTCTCATATAACACAAACCCGACGTTGAAGATGACGACGATGATGGCATGAATGATGATGAAGGTAACAATGATGATGACGATGGTGATGGTTTCAAATGTTTCCTAAATTCTGCCCTGTCTTCTGAATGAATTAGGTCCAAAACACTTTGGTGGATGATGTCGGACTGGTGTTTGTTTGTTTGAAAAATAAAAAAAATTGAAAAACAAAAAAATTGAAAAAAAAAAATTGATAAAAGATGCTTGTCAATGTTGTATTCAATAGATACTCATTGATCGATTCTTGTTGGTAGTGGTTTTTTCAATTCAATATTACGCTCCTAGTTAATATTACTTACGGTTCCTATACTATTATTTGCCTGTTTGATAGCGCACTGGTTAAAGGAGTCCGAAGCCGCCTACCAATAACCGGGTTCGTTTGCAGAAAGAACCTTGCCTAGTTTTTTTACCATAGGTAAAGATTGCCTTTTCACGTAAATAAGTTGTGTGCGTGCTGCATGGGTAGTACATGTGAGAGGTTGACTTGTGGCTTTTGTTGAAATTAATTCAGCGTGGTTGTTCTAGCAATGTTTTTTAAGTAACAATGGCTGATTGTTTCTTGCATATAATCAGTTTCAAATGAACTAACAATAATAATAATAAAAAGAAGAAGAAGAAGAAAAAAAAGAAGAGAAGAAAAAGAAGAAAAAAAAGAAGAAGAAAACAAAAAAAAGAAGAAGAAGAGGAAAAGAAAACAAAAAAGAAGAAAAAGAAGAAGAAAAAGAAGAAGAAGAAGAAGAAACCAACTTGATGAAAGCCGAGGTATTGCTCAACAGTTTCAGAGACGTAGAAGATCTCGCCATCGTCGGTGACCATCATTAAGAACCCGTTCAAAGCCTTTCAAGATTATTTCAAATACATTACTAGCAGTTTTTAAATAAATAAAACAACAATTTTATAAAATTTGAAATTTCTGGTTTTCAACTATTATTACAATGAAGTTTGTCAATGTGTCAAATGATTTTTGTTAATAATAAAATGTTAATTTTTGTTATAATTAATATCAGGCTTGATTTGGATTGAATGTTTGGATCCCTGCGGAAACAAAGGAGCGGTTCTCCAAATTATTTTAAAAATAAATTTCCTTTTGTACCTCTTTCAAAAGTTTATGTCCAGCAAATAAAATTTCATCAACAAAAAATGTTGCAATTTGTTAGAAGCTATTACAAATTATTAATAGCTGAGTCACCTGTCTGTGCAACTATTGCTCGTAAAAATAACGAAAAAAAAAATAAAAATTCAGTGGGCTATTGCCCTGGAACCTCCTTTTTATGGAGGTTCCAGGGCAATAGCCTTCCCTCCCTCCCTCCCTCCCTCCCTCCCTACCTACCTGCCTGCCTGCCTCCCTACCTGCCTGCTTTCACTCTAATCTGGCCAGGGTTATTCATTTCTAACTAGGCACCTTCTTTTAAATGTTCAACTTTTATAACACATTGTCATGTAAGCAAGCTTATATCGAAAAATATTATTCAACATCGTGATAGTTTCAGTTCGTTGGTATTTGATTCTATTACATGATATAAACACGTGACATCAACACACATGACAGACATCAACTCTTCACATTACATTGCTAAATAATTATCATTCACGTATTTTAAA